AAAAGTGCATTTTTGTCCTCGCTGTAACACAACCATTCGTGTTTTTTATACCAAGTTTCTGCGCAGAATGTACGCCGACGCTTTCCTCCGTCATGGGATTGTTCCAGTGAACAATTTTTTGGTTGATAAGGCCCAAGACGTTGTACCTCTAATTTTTGTTCCAGCGGCAGCTGCGAAAACGGAGTGCGAAGTAGTGCATCAACCTTAGGTCTAAGGCTAAGAAATGCAAAGCCGGAAAGAAGTGAGGAGCTCAAAATGAATGTGGAAAATCGAAAGCAAATGAACTAAAGGTCTCTAACTGATTCAAATAGCGAAACAAGCGACAAAAACGAAGGCGAGGAAACTATCAACTCTTCAAGCAAACAACGAACGAGAAGGAATGCGTGAATATGTCAATACGTTGTTGTAAGAAACGTCGGCATTGTGTCGTCATAATTTCGGGGCTAGCCCCGATGATTTAGTAAAAGAAACAGAAAACAAACGAGACAAACGCGGCGAGTGGAAGATAAAAGAGAGAATACGATATACGATGAGCAACCGGGGCAAAATCGGCGTCGCCCCGTCGACGTTCGGCGAAGGCTTTGCGAGCGAAAAATGAACCATGTCGGGAGAATATGGCTAGTGTAGACAGTCTGTGCAACCGATATTGAGGTATTTTTCGAATATTTTTTATTATACCGAAAAAACAACCGGGGCATTGCCCCGGTTGGCCCTATTGACGCGCCGCCACTGATAAATAGTAACAAATAGTTAGAGTGAAATATTTTTTCGTATATCAGTACAATCGCAAAACAGCATTATTTGTTGAGCCAGGAGTTTTTAGTGTTTTAGCATTAGAAGCTTGAGATGGAGATGGGTAGCATGAGCGCTCGAAACCGGTAATGTTGAAATTTTTTCAGCCAAAACTGTCTACTCGAGTGCGGCAGTTGTGCAACGATGATGTTGAAATTAACTCTTTAATACACGATGTAATGGATTTAGATGAAAAAATCATATTTGATAGAGTTAGGTGTGAAATTCAAGAAAACAACATTATTTGGTGTATTTTTGCTTTCTATTCCAATGAGGGGGGGGGGGTGTGTTTATAGGTTAATACCTCATTTTTGTCTCAAATTTCCTCCGAGTTCTGTGAATAAATTTCGTAATGACATTGGGCTTTTGACAGTCGATGGAATTTCAGGAAAGAGTTCTTTCCAAGCATGTTATTGTCAAATCAGTTAGTACGAATGACGTAATGAACTTTCCCGTCGTTGTTGATGAGCAATTCCGGTAATGCGTACAGGAGGATTTAATGACTTGGGAAGGAAATGAAATTTGTACAGAAAACATGAATAAATACAGAAATAAGAATAGTGAACTGCCGAGAAAGATAGCTGTATAGGATACAGCAATACACAGGAAAATGACTTTAAAATTGTTATCTGCTAGTATTATTGTAACAATATGTCTGACAATCAATGGAGCTGAAGTTTTGGCTGGTAAATTGGAATTTTGGGAATTAAGTGCGACAGAAGAAGGACAAGGTAAAACAAATTACCCTTCTTATAGGAGTTATGTTTTGTTTTTGATATGTGTCCATTTATAAACAGGAATTTTAACTAATTATGTATAACATTTGCATCAGGTCAGAAAAAAACACGAATATGAAATTGAGAAACAAGTTTTATTGTATATTTGTGATTTTGAATATTTTTTGTAGATTTGTAGTGATCGTTGTAGGTATCAAACGTAAATAGATTTCATTTTTTAATTCTGTTAAGAAGACAAACTTCTTAGTTCACCTAATCCTCGATCAATCATTAAAAAAGTCTTTCCAATTTGTTACGAGTTTCCGTTGTTTTAGAATTTGAAGCAGAAGTTGGAGGATTGCCAAGTTTACCGATTTTACCGGGTAAGATTAGAAAAATTCTGCTTTATCTGGATTATTGTAACAGTCATACAGTGATAATATTGCAATTATGATTATACTAAACTAAATATCTGAACCGAGTAAACATATGGCAAAACATATTATTATAATTGCATTTTTATCTAAAACGGTTTTAATTAAAATGTTGAATGAAGGAAAAACGAGTGGAAAAAGTAAGCATATAGAAAAGAGATGTAATTAAGGATAGCAATAGTTAAATATCGCACCATTTGTTTATTTGCCAATACTAAGGGAACTTGGATATTGTGTATTGAACTGCAGGTCCTTTCTCCTTGTTTACTTTCTACTTCGGATCCGTATGTGGTACTCACCACAAGGATGCTTGAACGAGATAGTAATAAAGTGATAAGTAAAAATAACATGATCTCTTTCAACGAAATAGTAAGTATATTTGTGAGCTTTCGTTAGATCATGGTCTAACTTCTTCAAACAATACAAGATATAACTTAATAACAACAATAATCATCAATCAATCTATTGTTGTTATTAAGTTATATCTTGTATTGTTTGAAGAAGTTAGACCATGATCTAACGAAAGCTCACAAATATACTTACTATTTCGTTGAAAGAGATCATGTTATTTTTACTTATTTGTTTATTGAACACGAAATAAATATATGAATCGCTTTGCTAAATTCTTGGTGTAGTTGGGTTGTTGATTTGGTCGACGTGATTGTTGTTGTTGTTCCTTTTGCCTTCTTCGCAACTTATTGACTTATTGATATCAAATCCAATATTTATTGATTGAAAAGTCATCAGAAGTACTTTTCTTTTTCTCAAACTTCTTCTGATTCCTACAGTCTCGAATACCTCACCCCCAATTTTGCACTTTTTATAATCTTCGGGAACATCGATTGCTGTAGTCAGTCATTTGTGACCATATATTGGAGCAATGCTCACCTATTTCCACTGTTCGACATTTTTGTGATTGTTGACTTTGGGTTCCATAAATTTCACATCATAATCTTTGAGTCAAAAGTGTGGGTTTTTTAAAAACACAGAATTCCCGAAAGAAGGAAGTGGAAATACGTAAAAGAAATTATGAGTAATATATATGACGCACGTGAATTTAAACATTTTTAATATAAATTTAGTTGCTGCAGGAACGATGTTATTGTAGAAGTGCATCTAGCGGTGTAAATATGAATTCGGTAACCAAGGCCCTAGTAGTGTCAATACTTGCTATTCTAAATACAAGATATAGGATGGCGAAGGCCGCTGAACCATTTGGTAATAATTTATATTGTAATTTGTAATCTTTAAAATTTATATATATATATCTATATATTATTTTTTATAAAAGTCCTGGGCACAACTTCGGGCTTTTTTTTTCAAATTCAACGGTTTAAAAGAAGATTCCACTGAAAAACGAGAATTAGTTCAGTGGTTTTGTACAAATAATTCTTTAAGGCAATCAATTTGGCGTATAGGTATTCAAACGTACAAAATAAAACTGTGTAATTTTAGTTTCAATTCGCATGTTCGAATCCCATAGCAATGATTGCTAAGTACTGGTCAACACTAAACCACTGGTTCATTACGCCACCCTTCCTTATATGAATCTATACATCTGAAACGATTAACTGGTTAGTCATTTTCACATGATTACTTATCGATCTTAAGATCGGTAAGTATGTTGATAGGTATTTGTCTGTTTGTGTGTTTATCTGTTAGACACTTTCGTATGTTACGCGATATCTCACGAAATCTCCTCCAAATTTTACATGTGCATTCATCATATATCGGACCAGAAGCCTATTGATTTTGGATGAATTATGTTGTATAATTAGCGAGTTATTAATTAATTAGTGATGGGACACATGGTGTCACTGAAGAGTACGAGCGGATGAATCGAAACCGCAGTTTCTGTTTTGGGGGATCCCCTAACTTTCGATCGATAAGTCTTTTGTCTCTGACCGATGTTCTCGTTATTCTGTTATTTAACCTCCAAAAATTCTTTTTGAAGTCTCTTTAAAAATTTCCTTTTTCAATAATTAACTACGATAAATTATCGTTTTGTAGCACAAGCGGGAGACTCCGGATCTGAATTATGGGCAGCAGGACAACAAGGTGATACTATCAAAATACTTGCTTTGTTTCAAATACGGAAGCACGATTGTGATTATGATGAAGTCATGTAATGATAACATCGTTTCTGAAATATGTTGCATTCTTCGCTTTAAATTTATAAAGGGTCGCAAAATAGCAATAGTTAAAATTGAGATCTCGGTCAGGAGATATTTTGCAGTAGAGCAGTTAGCCAATGTCGCAGATAACAATGCTAAAACGACATTCCCGTGATATATAGATAAATTTGATGTAATACAAAATTTACCATTAAAATGCAATAGCCACAACTAAACTACTATCTATCCTGCAAAATCTTGCCTTAAAATTAGCTATACAGTCTTTGACAAATGAAGTAAATCTAGTGAGGGATATTTTCCGTCTTCATTGATCAGCAACTCCGGTAGTACGCACAGGAGAATTTGTTGAAGGAAATAATGAAATTTGCACAAATATCAGAAAAAGCGTCAAAATTCAGAAATGTGAACAGTTAACTGCTGAGAAAGCCAGCTATAGCATACAGAGATAAATATTTAATACAGAAATGACTTTGAAATTGTTGTCTGCTAGAATTATTGTAGCAATATGCCTAAACATTAACGTAGCCGAAGTTTAGGTTAGAGACCAGAAATTGGGAATTCTCTGTGGGATGAAGATACTCCAGGTAAAACTCTTTGTCCCCATAGTTGTGGTGCTACATTTACGTTTTGTTTTGTTTCAATTTTGCTTACTAAAACGTCAGTTTTAACTAATGAAACTATACGGAATAACACAAACCAGTGTTACTGACAACTTTTTTAAAGGAAACCAGTTGATGAAAAATTATTAAAAACTGATAATTTCACACTTAGTACTTAATTCCTAGAGCATTATGCTGTTAATGTTTTATTGTCGGAATATTATTGCAATAATATGTTGTAATATTGTTGTTGTGATGCCGGGACAATGGGACGAAGCAGACCCAGACTTACCCATAGGTAAATTGGTGAAGTAGGAAATAAATTATTGGACACGTGGTGTTGTTAAATTGCTGTTGTTGTTGCTATTCTTGGTATTGATTGAAATAACTAGATTCCGTCATGAAGTAAAACTCTACTTTCAGTTTGTATTAAATCCTTATCGCATTTTTGCCAGCATTGCGAAAATTGTACGCGTGAGTTATTTTTTTGCTGAAAAATGTTCTGTCGATGATATCAACCGGTAGTACGCACAGGATTTATCGAAAGGAAATGAAACTTTACGGAATTGCACAAACCGGTTTTAGTGAATCAGTATAAAAGTCATGAGTTGATAAAAAAATTCATATTACTGATATGAAGATACTTAATTTCTAGAGCAATATGATGTTAATGTTGTGTTGTAAAAATATCTTTGGAATAATATGTTTGAATATTGCTGTTGTGAACTCCGAATGGAAAATAGCAGGCATCGATATACCGCCAGGTGAATTTATAAAGATGAAAAAACTTTTGATTTTCATAATTGTTGTTTCACTCTTATATACGAATTGGACGCTAACCGATTCTGTTCTCAATGTTGCAATAACTTGGTTGCAACATTTCGAACCCAAGCAAATTTTTAAAGTTTAATGTTCGATAAAGCAAAAATATTTCCTGTTGTCAAGTAAATGTTAAACGATTACAAATTAACCAACATCGCTGTACCTTTGTATTGGAAAAATTGAATAAAATAAATATTAACTATTTTGTATCCAGCAGGAGCGGCAGCATGGGCGAATGCGTTGTCTGGAACTGACGATTTTGATTACCTTTCACAAATAGCAAAAATACAATACGGCTCACCGCTAGATGTCGCCCTACAAAATCTCCGCACAGAAGGAATGAAACTTACACAAGTAGACCTAGTAGAATTGATATCGCCAACATCAGCAGGTATAGAATGTTATATTTCTGTGTCTAAAATCATCTTGATTTATTTTTGCTCCGTTATGAATGTAAAACTGCCAATGTAATCTACTAATTATCAGAAATTACAAATGAAATTATTAAAACCCCATTCTAAACTACAAGAGAGCTATGCCCAAATATATGGACACGTAGCGCCACCCAATGGCAATAATTTTGATGACGTCATAGCGAAAAAAAAGTAATAGCCTTCTGGAGAAAAAATTTATCTTTAACCACTGAAAAGCAATTGGTCCAGTATTCGAAGTGAAAAGCGATTTTTTAATGATAATGACGAAAGAAAATAACAATAACAACAAAATTTTGAAACGATCGTTATGGCCACTAAACGTGTCCAATAACGTGAGATCTACCCCAAGCTGGTACAATAGCGTTGTACCATAGAGATCTAGCGCACAATAGCGTGTAATCTATTGCACTAGAGGTCTATCGCTGCACTTTTGATCCCTAGTGCATATCACTTATTTCTATACATTTGATTAATAAGCGTTTTATAGCATGGGTCTGACCCAGTATGTTCCCCAGCTTTTTGTTTCAGGGGGGTGTTTCCCAATTTACGGGGTGGTAGATATTTTGTTATTAGTGATAAAACTATTTGTAACTCACAAAATTTTGTTATGTATTTGACTTATCATCTTCAGTAGAATATGAGCCACTTTCCAGGGTATTCATATACAATTTATTTACGTTAAAAATTTAAGTATGGTGTCACACCTAAAAATTTTAGGGGGGAGGGGAGCGGGGTTATTGTAGGGAAATTACTGGTCTGGCTTAAACTTTATCTCTGCACTCTACTAGGCATCTGCATTTGCCGGTAGATTTCATGCCATAGTAGCATCAACTTTTAATGGCATTTTATATTGGGCAGTTTGGATAACGAATGTTTCACGAAATTGAAGATTGACAACTTTTTTACTTATTTCATCAAGGCCAGTGGTTTTGGAACTTACAGAAAAATCATTTACAAATAACTGGGTGAAACCGCGGGTCGTAATAGGCATAGATAATAAATGGGACTGCGTTATAGAATTTGCAGCACAAAATCGCAAAGATATTGGAATCACCCACACATACCAGATTAAACTCAATTAAAAACTATTTTTGTGGGCCACACATCATTCAAAATTGGCACTTCTCCACGGGCCACACAATTTTTCCTTGCGGGCTGCATTTGGCCTGCAGATTGCACACCCCTGATCTAGGTTGTCTTATATTACAGTGAACGATATGATTACTCAGAAGCAAAAAATGGTTGAATACTCTACTGCTCTAAGGAACTTCAATTGCGTTCACTTCCCTTGCAAATATGATGGAAATTGTGAGCTTATACCACTCATTGATTTCTCCGACGAATTAAAAGAAAGCCTGAAGATACAGACTATGAACGAAATCAGCATCATTATGGGACAGGCTGAATTTTTTAACTTTTATAAAGAATTTGGAAGCACTGACCTTGGAACGCCCGAGGGCATTGAGACCGTTGTACATGCCTATTTATGGGATACTTCAGACACCATCAACCCTATGTTACTTAATATGCTGGCTTACACAGTTTCACCATGGATCAGCGACGACTGGATGCCAGAACTTGAAATTAATTGGAACACGAATGCGTGGAAGCTTATAAATTTCATCGAGTTGTTCATAGCTCAAAAGATCATTGCAATGAGTTTGTCAGATTTGGCAAGATATGAAAGTATTGAAACGGTTGCAGCGATGTATCAACTCGTAGGAAAAGCTATTCGTTGTTCCTGTGCTCTGGGATTTGGAGGAACACATTGTGAATTTTGTGTACTTACTGATGCTTCCTTAATAGCAGATAATGAATTTGAATATCATGGAATCAAACCGATTAGTGCTGAAGTTGGTTGATAAAATATGTTATAGCTGTTGGCCTGTTATAACTACGTAAATAAAACTTATCCCCCCAACAACAGACATTTTATATTCCAATTTGTGTTGTAATATGTTGTATCAGTTATTACTACATAAATAAACTATATCTAAACGTAATAAATGCAATATTTTAATTCTTTGTTCAATAAAATAACTAACAGTTGGGGTTACGCGAGACCAACTTATTTCCTCAATGCTTTTGCGCAAGTGGATCCGTATCCGTATAACGCAAGGATGCTGTCGCATTAGCAAGATTAAAAATGACTATTCTGTTAATTCAAGATTTTTTGCTACACACTAGCACACCGGTTCTCAACCAGTGGGTCATGGCCCACACCTGGGCCACAGAAGAATTTTTAGGCGGGCCATAAACCTATCAAAACACTGATTGAATGACGATGCTGTTTTTTGCTACTGAGTGCTAATGCTCATTTCAATCATTAGAGTGGAAGAGTCTATCTTTGCGAAAATGATTGTTTTTTTGTAGTTTCTCCCTTGCGTAAGAAAGTGAAAGTGCCACAGATTTTTATTGCGCAACAAAATTGAGTCACGATAAAACAGATAGAGAACCACTGCAATAGCACAACATTAAATCTGTTACGTTTCGTCAGACCCCAAAAGACATCTGTGCTAATGCACAGCAACACTCTTGAAAGAAATACCTTGAATAACATAGTATATGAAGCATGGTCGGATCGGATCATTGCCAAGCGATAAAATATGAATGGCATGACGCCATGAAAGCAACCACATCTTAGCGTTCCATAAACCTCATCTCAGAACTGTGAAAATATTTCAGAGAGTGTCAGCGACATCTAAAACCAGCCAGCCAGCTGTGAGTAAATTTTGAATAACGTCCATGACTAATGTTGATTTGTTTTGTGACAAGTTCTACAAGTCCGGGAAGAAATTTGATGCCCAATGTAAGGAAATACCATACCATCTCTTCACTCCAGCTGTACTCCTCACAAACTTTTTGCCGTATTAAATGTTAAGTTATGCACTTCCAAAGTGCGCAGAGTCTTGTCGAGTTTGGCATTCGTTTCATTTTACGCCTGCGCAGATCAATTTCTATTACCCAGTTTCACATGTGTATCGTTGACTTCTAAAAAATGAAGTATGATGTTGTTGGACTTGAACATCAGGTAGAAATAACAAGCAATCTCATAATTAAATTCTGCCAGTGGAACTAAATCATGGAGAATATCAAAAAGTTTGTTTAATTTGTTTCGAAAGAAAATGGAATGTTGTTTGGCATATTCAGAGCACTATACATTCATTTTAACTGCATTTTATGTTATCTAGTTTCCTATCTGAACTGATATTATAGGCTACATTGAAACAATTAAATGACCAGTGACACCCTATACTTAAGACTAAAACTGTGCGTACAGATTGAAAACGTATTGGGATACGCGATTCTCGTCACACTATTTGTATAAATTGTTTATAGAAGTTTTCATCATCAACTGAATGAAAGATATTTCGAAAGGCTTTCTATTAGTTCGTATATGTTCCAAGAAGACTTTTCGATTCACAAAAACAAAACAAAATAGATTCCTGAAGTGTGCTACACTAATTTGGATTATGAGAAGTAGTATATATAAAACGTTACCTAGTAATTCGCTTTCACACACCCAACCATAGTTACATAACATGTTTTTCGAACAAAACAAAATTAAAATATAAAATATATTTTGTTGCGATAAATTTTATTTACGTAGTTCCAACAGCCGTAACATATTTTATCAACCAACTCTAGCACCAATCAGTTTGATTCCATGATATTCAAATTCATTATCTGCTATGATGGAATCATCGGTAAGAACACAAAATTCACAATGTGTTCCTCCAAATCCTAGAGCACAAGAACAACGAATAGATTTCCCAACTAGATCATACACCGCTGCAACCGTTTCAACACTTTCATATCTTGCCAAATCTGACAAACTCATTGCGATGATCTTTTGAGCGATGAACAACTCGATGAAATTTATAAGTTTCCACGCATTTGGGCTCCAATCTAATTCAATTACTGGCATCCATCCATCGTTGATCCATAATGACATTGTGTAACCCTGACCACTAAGTCTAACATTGTTACTATTGACAGAAGTAGCCCATATATAGTCATTTACAACATTCTCTATAGCTGCAGGATCAGCGACAACGGTTCCAGACAAACTGTTGAAAAATGATTGAAAATCACTCAGTCTCATGGCCATACTGATTTCGTTGAAAACTTGACCTCTCAGTGATTCTTTTAATTCATCAGAGAAATCAATGAGTGGTATAAGCTCACAATTCCCATCATATTTGCAAGGGAAGTGAACGCAATTGAAGTTTCGTAGATTGGTAGAGTACACAACCACCTTTTGCTTCTGAGTAATCATATCAACTGTAAAGTAAGGCAGATGAGACAGGTCATAAGAAGACAAGATCAAGAAAACAATAATGTTCATTTTGAAAACAATTTTCATCAAAATTTACGTATGGAACATCAATAAATTTTTACTTTATTGTATGATGGTTTACAATTTATAATATTTATTATATATTATATTTATTTATACGAGCTATTGCTTTATGATATATACTCAATAATTACAGATGTAATGATAATTAGTTTTAATATGTGGCAACTATGGGTTAGGTTCAAAGGTCATTTTAGAGTTGTCTAGAAATTCCCGCTCTCAGATAGCGTGGTGTGTGCTTCTGTGTCCGACATGATCTGCGTATGATGCTTTGATTACCCAGTACAAGTTTTTGCAATACAACATCCTGACTTGTTAATCAGTCTGTCAGTGCTTTTAGAAGAAGAATCACACAACCCAGCGATGCATGAGAACAATCTTGGGCATCCAGATGTGTGTGAACTAATGTTATATGGAGATAACTAATTTTGTTCGCCTACTTAACATCAAGTTATGTAGAGGGACTGAAGCCTATAGGCAGAGGGTATATTCAATTGACTAACACAGACAATCCCCGAACTCGTAATAGAACTAGAATAAGGAAATTCGGAATGAAATTATGGCCTAACCTGATACATTTACTACGGGAATGCACAATCCTGGGGTCTGGTATAGTTTAGTACCACATGTACTTCTAGTTGTCCTGGCTCAACAATTTTTGCATATGTCAATCCTAACCCCCACCTGACTACGTCACCGAAAAATTACGTCATTTCGACGTCACAGTGGCGTAATAAGGCCTACCGAAGTATGCGGAAGGTCGTCCAAAACGCGCAGACGATCACCCGAAATCGACCAATCAATTTCTCCCGTTTTCTCGTCACAACGATCACGATAGGAGAGAGATCGCCGGCTTTAGCAAGTTTGTTATCGGCGGCGCAGATGTCATTTCGGGCGATATTAATTATACTTTGGCAATCCCTATGACGTGATGGGGACGTCGTAGTGACTTAATTTTTGTATGGCATAGTCAGGTGGGGGTTAGGAATAGCATATGCAAAATTTGTTATGCTACGCCCACCGGAAGTACTTGTGGTACTATACTAGACCCCAATCTTGTGTGTGCATACCTGTTGATGAGAACAAGAGCATGTCTGTAGGGATTATTATTAGTTAATTAGACCATATTTTTAATAGTAAGAAAAAAAGGAATTCCACTTAGGACAAGATTTCGTCTGAATTTGAAAAAGGTAGAAAAAATGAAATTTACGTTAAATACTTAATTGGCTTTCATAGGAATAACCCTTCAGTTAAAAACACGATATCTTGCCCTTAAGCAAAATAAACTTGTAAAATCCTGTTTTTAATCACTCGACCACTTACAGCTAACTATTTAATTGGCTACAGACATCCTTCTAAATCGTTTTACAAGAATTGCCGAGACTTAATTACGGCATTCTTACTTTATTTATTATAAACGATATCCACGTAAGAGCCAAACCCTAAAGGCATAACAGGCGTCTCGACTATTGTATATAAACGGACAATAATTCTTTAAATTAACTCACGGGTTTTGATCTTGATCTATATTCTGCTCTGTGTTGTCAATACAAGAATTATAAGGTTGGTGACTTTGTAATATATTCGTTGTCTGCTGGGTTAAGCTCTGCGCTAACTGAGTCAGAGGTAAATTGGAAGTCTGGTTTAAACTCTAGTTAACCGAGAGTTTATGCTTTTCACTAAGCTCTGTTTAGGATTGCTTTAAGATAACAAGCATCCTATAAATTTGGTGCCCTGAACAACTGAATGCAACCTTCTTGAGAGGAACAGATCAACGGAGGAACACAACCAGCAACGACGACAGATCAATGCACGGAATCTCAAAAAAATAGAGGAACACAAGATAAGTTCACGTTAATATTATATCCTATAAGTCGCATATACGGGTCCATGCTAATCTAATAGATCTCCTATCTTTCAACAGTTAACGACATTTTACGATTATCGACGAAAAAACAACTCTACGACATCGACACGAGGATCCGGATCAGCGACTATTGACGCGAAGAAGACGAAATCGCCTAAGGATATTTCTACGGACATTCTGTATTTCATTCAATTTACTGCATATTAATTTTGGTATGTACTGCAATTTTCTTTCCTATTTCTTTTCTTATAATCCGTATTCCCATGAGAGCTAGTGTCTTCCCATTTGATTTATTTAAAAAGGCCAAATCTAATTTAGCTCCAACCGATAAGAGTAGTGAATTACCTAAGCCAGAAGACGTATTAAAACCACCCTTTATTATTAAATCTCAGTTGCCCGATAATAATAATATGCAGTCAACTAAGCAGTCGCCTAAACCGTCGTCTAGTCAAAATTATGATCTATTCGAACCTATACCTTCGTCGTCGTCAAATAGGAAACCGTTATCACATTTTAGATATAATGATCGTGATAATATTAAAATCCCGCAATTTTGGGTTCACTCTCCCCTTTTATGGATTCGATGTGTTGAATCTGCTTTTTCTAGAGCTGATATTACATCAGAAACAAGAATGTTTGATGAAGTATTAGCTGTTCTTGATAGTTCAATAATTGAAAAAATAGGGGCGGATTTGCTAGACATAAGCGCTACAAATCCGTATACGGAACTTAGAGAAGCCCTAGTAAAAAATTATGCACCGACGGAAGACCAAATGATTTCGTCATTTCTCAACTCAGGGGATTTAGGTGACCAATTGCCGTCAGATTTGCTAAAAAAATTAAAATTACTTATAAATCCAGATCATAGAGGGGACCCTTTTGCTCGTGCTTTACTGAAAAAATTATTTTTGGAAAAATTGCTAAGGCAATGCAGTCAATTCTAGTTGCGTCGGACGATTGATAGTTTAGAAGAGTTAGCAGAGAAGGCCGATAAGATTTATAGAAATTCTAATAATTCACCTGATTCAAGTTATATTAAAACTCAGACCCAAAATAAGTTGATGGAAGCTAAAATTAATACGTTAACTGATAGTGTTAATGCCTTAACTAATCAGTTGCAAAACCAAACTTTAACTTCAAATAATACTGATATTAGAACTAAGTTTTATCCGAGGTATCCGAGATATAATACTAATTGGCAGCCCAGGGGACGTTTTCAATCGAACTTTAGACAGCCCTTTAATAACCATAGATTCTCAGCTCCAATAGATTTCAAAATTCACCTAGGAACGGTAATTTCAATTATCGTTATTCCAACCCAACACTTCATCTCCTAGCGGATGGTGTTTCTATCATTCGACTTTTGGTCGAAATGCTTTTAAATGCGAGCCTGGTTGTACGTTTCAGGGAAAAGGACTGGCCACTCAGTTTCGACGCTAACTAAGCGTGGCACATCTCACTCTAATAAGCGTCAATTATTTTTATACGATCCCGATTCCAATAATAAGTTTTTAATAGATTCGGGAGCTGAAATTAGTATTTTGCCATCAAGTAAATATGCCGTTCATAGGAAATGTCATAAAACTTTACAAGCATTAATGGTACTTCAATATCTACCTTTGGTAAATTACGTTTAAATTTAACTTTTAACCACGATGTACTTTACCGTGGTCATTTACGATAGCTGATGTGCCCATACCAATTATAGGAAATGATTTTTTAACCCATTATGGACTTCTAATTGATTTTAAAAATAAGGTTGTAATAGACCCACTTTCTCAAAACATTATAAGAACAACTACTGGTAATTTTAAATTCTGTTTCCGCGTACTCATCACCTAAGAATAATAATGATGATGAATATGAAGCCTTATTAAATAAATTCCCACAGATATTGATAGAAGACTATAAGTCACCGAAGCGTAAACATAATGTTAGTCACAGAATAGTAACAACCGGATTTCCAGTTCATGCGAAACCGCGACGTCTAGCGCCATTAAAAGCAGCCGCCGTTAAAGCCCAAATTAATAAAATGTTAAACCAGGGAGTTGTATCGCCCTCTAGTGGAGAGTGGTCATCACCCATCACAGTAGTCCTTAAGAAAAATGGGGATATAAATAACCCAGACCATTATAGGCTATGCGGGGATTTTAGATTACTCAACCTACAGACTAAGAAGGATACTTATCCTATACCCCATATTCAATCTTTTACCAATGAAGTTAGGGGGTGTACTGTTTTTTCAAAAATTGACTTAAAATCGGCTTATTTTCAAATTCCGTTACACCCGGATAGTCGTGAAAAATCTGCGATTACTACGGGGTTTAACAAGGTTAAATGGAACGTCATGCCCTTCGGCCTTAGCAACAGTCAGGCTAGCTTCCAGCGGTTAATAGATGATGTTACTAGGCAATTAACTAATGTATTTGCATATGTTGATGACATTCTTGTATATAGTAAAACTGTAGACGAGCATAAGCAACATTTGCATAAATTATTTGAAACTTTAAATGAATATGGCCTAGTAATTAACAGAGAAAAGAGTTCATTTGGAGTTGATAAGCTAATCTTTTTGGGTTTTTTAGTTGATAAGGAGGGTATTAAACCAATGGAATCTAAAGTTAAAGCGTTAAGAGAATTTCCCATACCTCAGACAAAACGGCAGTTACGATCGTATTTAGGCGCCTTCACGTATTATCAACGGTTTTTACCCAATTGTGCTTGTATTTTAGCTCCTTTACATAAACTAGCAGCCAATTATATTTCTAAAAATCAGCCTGTAATATGGACAGCCGACACTAAATTAGCTTTTGAAAAGTCCAAAAATGCTCTGAGTGATTTTATTATGCTTAATCACCCGAAACCGGATGCAGAACTTTCCATAGCCGTCGACGCAAGTCTAACTGGTGTTGGCGCTATCTTACAACAAAAGATAGGAGAGCACTGGGAACCTCTCTCAGTTTTCAGCAAAGCTCTCAATACTGCCCAGCAAAAATATTCTACATTTGATCGAGAACTTCTAGCAGTTTTTCTAAGTATTTCGTCACTTTCGCTACTATGTGTCAAGGTCGGGGAATTCTTTATTCTTTCCGATCACAAACCTCTTTCTTTTGCTCTGGCCACAAAAACATGGAGAGAACTTCACCTCGGCAAAGCAGACATCTAGATTTCATCAGTCAATTCACTTCTGATATCAGATATATACCTGGTTCTGCAAATATCGTAAGCTGATGCTTTATCCAGATCAACAATTGGCAGCGATTTCGATCTTTCTCCTTCTCTTTTCTCTTACTTCTATCGCTCAAGAGCAAAACACGGATCCAGAAATACAGGCATTTGTTAAATAATCCCATGAGTTTACAATTAGGACTTTGTTGATACCTCAGTTCCAGCTTAACTTTAATTTGTGATTCTAAATTACCCAATAAGAGACCAGTTGTACCTAAGAAATTTAGGCAAAAAATTTTTGACACTTTGCATAATCTTAGCCACCCTGGACTTAGAGCTACTCAACATTTAATTCCAAGCTTAGGTATGCATGGCCAAATATGAATTCAGATATTAGGAAAATGTGTCGAGCTTGTATTCCATGCCAGAAATCTAAAATAACTAGACATACTATTTCACCCTTACAACCTATTTTAGCTCCCAATAAAAGATTTTCAGAAGTAAATACTGATATAATTGGACCTTTGCCAGTTTCGAACGGTTATTCTTATTTATTAATTACGGTTGATAAATTTACCCGTTGGGGCCGAAGTAACGCCAATGCGAGATATAAACTGCCGAAACTGTCGTTAAAACTTTTCTTTATCATGGGTAAGTAGATTTGGATCTTCCAACTGTAATAACTACTGACCGGGGTGCTCAATTTAGAAGTTCTTTGTGGGACAAAATGATAAATTTTTAGGAAGTCAGCATATATGTACTACAAGTTATCACCCTTGTAGTAATGCAACTGCTGAGCGACCCATTAGACAAATTAAAGCTTCACTTATGGCACAATGTTCAAACAACCATGAGTGGTATCAAAATTTAAGTTTAGTTTTGTTAGGGATACGTACTGCAATAAAATTAGATTTAAGTTTATCCTCGGCGGAATTAGTATACGGATCATCCTTACGTTTACCTGGGGATTTTTTTTCAAACAATATAAACCTGGACTTAGAATCACCTAATGAATTTATAGCGCGTCTTAGACAATTCGTCCAAGACTTAAACCAACAAACCCAAAGAATACCAGAAAATAGAAAAACCTTCATATTTAAGAATTAAAAGATTGCACACATGTATTTTTACGTGTTGATGCAGTTAAAAAACCTTTGATACCGCCTTATATTGGTCCATTCCAAGTGTTAGAAAAACATGCAAAGTACTATAAAATAGAATATTAATGGTAATCCTCAAACTGTTAGTATAGATAGAATAAACCGGCGCATATCGAAACAGAACTAGAAATACCAACTGAGCCGAATACTGAAACAGCGTTATTGTTTTTAAACAGGCCTGAACCGCCAACAACAACGCGTTCCGCAGAACGACACGCCACAACCGCCAGCATGATTACGCTTATTATTAGTTTTCTCGTAAATGTATGTATATATTCTTATGCTTTCCTTTTAACTCACCTAGCCCAACAGTGTCAGTGAATTTTTTGTGATCCAAAAGTACCCGTAGCAGAATATGCCATACCGGAAACCACCAAATTGTAAACGAAATACTATCACCCGCGTAGATTATTGCGATGCCACGGTACATAAATTATCTTCAGCAATACACTAATATTACAGTGTTATGTCTGCCAAAAATCTGTCACAGAATGGCAGGCAACTAGATTCTTTTTTGGTTCAATTTATGACAAATCTAAATCTTATATGGCCGATCCTCCAACTTCTTTATATTGTCAAGATTGGGTTCATTCTCTCAAAGCTGAAAATATTGGTGATTTGAAAGTAACCTCAGAAAATACTTGGTTCTACTGATAATGAAGTAAAATACGAATATAATTGGCCAACAACCACAACTGGGAAAATTTTTAATGCACATTTGGCTCTTACAACAATTTATTATGACCATATAAAAGGTATTCTTTTAGCCCATTTTCAGGATTATCCACTTGCAGTATTACTTCCGGATCTTGTACTGTAGGTACTCAAACAATTATTTGGAAAATTACCCATTAATAGATTGTCCCCCTTTTAAAAATTTCAATTCGAAAATGGCATTGCATTATAATGCGTCGGGTGACATTTACCGATTAGACTTTCCGGAATTGGGAGCCAGCATCCACCAATGGGGTTCATGTGGTGCTTATGTTCAAGATGTTTTAATACAAAAGCATTTTGTACAAATAATGCACTTTTATTTGAAACTCACAAATGTTCTTCATTGAAAGCTGCTGGTTTCATCAATTCTAAATACCCAAAACTTAAGTATAATTCCGTAGTGGTAGATTCTGTTTCTAGCACTCTGACTGGCTTATTCAGGAAAATACTGACAGGGTAACCGAGGTAATTGTTAATATATCATCAGACATCAATTACCTCGAGTGTCAACTGGAAAGTATTCTAACCCGAATATACAAAACTCTAAGTAAACAATATCCAGGTCAAATTTTAAATGAAAGTGTTAGGAGGCAAACATGCTGCCTATAACGGTAGGGGATATCCTCACAGAAAATACACTGTGAGCAAATAAACGTTACTATATTACGATCACTATATTATAATAATACTTATGCAACAAGGCCACTTGTAACGTTTCTCAACAAAATAATGTTACCATAGTTGCGCAGATATTTACAGATACGAATGTCTACGCAGGTATACATTTTTTTGAAAACTTCGTCTCCGACGAACGTTTACTTTTGCAATCAATGGGCGATACTATACGTATATCAATTACACGCTAACTCATACAAATGCCCACATACAATCTCTAAGGCCTTCTTTAACCAAAATCAACGAAACCTTTAAACCAATGGAATATCAAAAGATATTCCAAGATATGCCCCACGGAGGACACTCAGGCTTCGAAGATCTCAATAATATTCTAATTTCGATCAATCACCTGAACTTGATCAAAGAAAAGATATTATTGGATCACAAGTCGTCCTCCGAAACAAATACAAACAACCAATTCACTACAACTAAAAACAAAGTTGAAGACAACTTTTGGTAAACGCTTTATCATTTATCGTCATCCAATTTTGTCGGCCTTTTCTACATGCTGAGCATGGCATTTAGGAATGTTTGGGGTATTGTATTGACCATACTCGTCATAAAGCGTATGATACCAATGCTCAAAACCTCGTCAACGCCTGTATATAACAGAGCTAGACAATTTTGGATGAATTTTAGAAACCCCGCTCAGGAACTTAATCCTGTAGAACCTTGCCAAACGTAAATGGAACAAATAGAGAAGACACTGAGACTGCTTGTACCTATACATGCCCCCCATACTTCCAATAACCTACCCAATCTATACCCCAATCTTCCTTCTTGAAATTTTCACCTCTCTTCGGGTGACATGTTTTTCTTATTTACATTGTATTGTATCACATATTTTGTTTGGTGAATATACACTTGAATAAATATTTAAAAAAAAAAAAAAAAAAAAAAAAAAAAAAATATGAAAAAAAAAAAAAAAAAAAAGTATATATTGGTTTATTGATATCATTTTATTATGTTTTTCGTTATTCAAATTTAAATTAATATTTCATCATCAGGGATAACTTTAAATCACTCAATTTATGACGTTATAATTTCAATTTTACGATATATTTTCAATTTCACTTACAATTTTATGTTTTTCTCTTTGTTATTTTTTAGAAATCTGTACAATTTTTGACACGTTTGTTATGCCGAAACCCCGAACTCCGTTCTTTAGGGCCGAATTATTATGTAGGGATTATTATTAGTTAATTAGACCATATTTTTAATAGTAAGAAAAAAAGGAATTCCACTTAGGACAAGATTTCGTCTGAATTTGAAAAAGGTAGAAAAAATGAAATTTACGTTAAATACTTAATTGGCTTTCATAGGAATAACCCTTCAGTTAAAAACACGATATCTTGCCCTTAAGCAAAATAAACTTGTAAAATCCTGTTTTTAATCACTCGACCACTTACAGCTAACTATTTAATTGGCTACAGACATCCTTCTAAATCGTTTTACAAGAATTGCCGAGACTTAATTACGGCATTCTTACTTTATTTATTATAAACGATATCCACGTAAGAGCCAAACCCTAAAGGCATAACAGGCGTCTCGACTATTGTATATAAACGGACAATAATTCTTTAAATTAACTCACGGGTTTTGATCTTGATCTATATTCTGCTCTGTGTTGTCAATACAAGAATTATAAGGTTGGTGACTTTGTAATATATTCGTTGTCTGCTGGGTTAAGCTCTGCGCTAACTGAGTCAGAGGTAAATTGGAAGTCTGGTTTAAACTCTAGTTAACCGAGAGTTTATGCTTTTCACTAAGCTCTGTTTAGGATTGCTTTAAGATAACAAGCATCCTATATGTCAATTAAATTCATTTCTGAAAGTTGTGTGCCTTCTGTGCGAAGATTTGTCAGAGCTTCATTTAAAGGTGAGCCATATTGTATTGCTGCTATTTGTTGAGCATAAGTCAAATCAGCAGCTGTTCCTAGCTTCTTGCTCCAGTCGTCCGGCACAGCAGGTGCTGCTGAAATAAATAGTAAATATGGTAATTTGCTTTTATTTTTAAACATAAAATAGCTAAGAGATCACTTCATTTATTTATCTAAGTATCAGAACGTATCACTGGGCGGACAAAATTTTTCCGTGCTGGCAATATTTAGAACTTTCAGTTGCCGGTCTAGGTCAGTTTGAAAAGAGCTAGCAACTCTAATGCACAGATTTATAGAGCAAATGGAGCCATAACCGGTTACCGACTAAGTTGTTCCCGCAAAATGGCAAGGACTACGGCATTCATTTCACATGTAATTGTTCTCTGCAGGATTTGAACCCGCGATTTTTTATGTTTACTTGGCGGTGCGATCTATATTGCAAACGCAATATTCAGTATTTTTATATGGGTTGATCTTCTGTATGTTTTGACATACATCCTAAATATTACAAGTTGCAATAGAAAATTTTACCTAACTTCAACAGGCTCCGCTCTAATTTTAGGTGTAAAATATAAGAATCTTTATTTAAAATTGTAATCATGTATATGTTGGCATGTTTATTTTCGTCTATTTTATTGAATGCACCCAGGTCTCGGTAAATTAAGTTACCTTCACATGATCATGTTCTCAGTTAAAATGCAATAATAGCCGTACGTATTTGCGATTTTTCTATCATCGTATATGCCATATGGTATATTAAACAAGAGAACATTGCAAAAATATATGAACACAAAGGCCAACACTAAATATCTTGCACAAAATTTCCCCAAAAATCATGTCCTGTAGGACGCGGTAACTGCGGAAGGCCTGCAGTAACGGTACACGGACTGTTCTGGCCTTCAATGTCCTGTGACGATGATGATTCGTGCGTTCAGTCTCAATATTGAACGGAATATCAAATGTTTCAAATCACAACTGTAGTATCAAATCTTTTACCGATTTACGCTGAGCGCGATATCCGCTGATTGCGATGGCGAAACCGACACACGGTGCGTAATTTTTAATTTGGATGACGTCATCACACAAAATTTCAAAGCGATAAACGAATTAAACGGAGCCCAGAGAAATTTTTAAAATAAGTAAAAGCAATAGCCTTCTAGCGACAACAACAATCTTTATTAAACGAATATTTCAAAACAAATGGCCCAATAGTTCAGGAATTTTTTTTCACAACCACTAGCTAAGAAAGAAGAATTCTAATAACAATATAAGGTACTCCCGTAGTATGTGAACCAATATGGCGGACACCAGAACGTAGTATGTGTACCAGGTTAGGGTTAGGCCATCATTTTATTTCAATTTTCCATTTTTTAGTTCTATTACGAGTTCGGGAACTAGCCTGGTGGCTCCCGTAGTATTATACCTGAAATTGTGGCCTAACCCTAACCTGGTACACATACTACGTTCTAGTGTCCGCCATCTTGGTTCACATACTACGGGAATACCTAATATAATAACAGAACGATCCACAGGTTCACTTCGTGCCAAACAAGAGAACAACGCGCAAATATATGGATACGGCGATATCGGGACCGTTACAAACACACGCCATTCGGTAAGCACAAGTTACCCGGTGCGATGGCACAGTGTTTTGTTCATGACGTGTATTAATCCGGGAAAGATTATGATCCACTGAAGAGGATATTTTAAAAATATATACGTATATATATTTAAAAAGTTATAAGCCACAGCATTCTAGTGAGCACTTTCATAATTAGATCTTGAAAAGTAGAAACTAATAGGTCCAGTTAATAAGAATCATACATTGTAGAAAGTCTATGCATGTCACTTTCTTACATACATAGTTCATTTTCTCGTGATTTACGTTTGTTATGTAATAAAATTTTACTGAACAATCAATTTTTTCTGTAATCACCACATAAGAACCGCAGCCACGATTTTGTTTTTGAAATCGAGTTTGTATAAAGTATTGTCATGATCTTCTTTTGAGTATTGTCTCACATACTGAAATTGATTTAAAAGTCATTGTCCGATTTTACATCGTTTCTCATTTTATTGTGTTCTTTTGACTGTTTTTGCCAGACGGGCACGTACTTGTACGTTTTTAACTCTTTTATTAAGTTATGCCCGTATTCCAGGTCGTCTGCATTTTGTTTGTCCGTTTGTTGTTGTTTTGTTTCTTTCAGAGTGACCAAAATAAATTGATTGATTGTCTCAATAACAACAGCACGAACAACAACGATTAATATGCCCGTGCAAAAGTATATTGGTTCAATTTTAATTTCCTATATTAGACTGGTATAGCTCTGAAGTCTGGGTGATTTTTTCGTTCTTTAATATTTTTTGTGAATTTTATGTCCAGCGCGAGTTTTTCTAGTGTTTATTAGAAGCCTTCTGTAGTATTACCTGCTGCTTCTTCCCATCCTCCGAATGTTCCTCCTTGTTCAGCTAGAAAGATAATTTTTATGGTAATTTGAGAAATTGCCGTTTGAATTCGTAATTTCTCTTTATATCGGAGAGATGAAAGGCCGATAAAACGATCTACCGTCCTGCCAAGCCTGGTATGGGAATGAGAAATTGATATATAGCCTAAGACCAAAAGCATATTTTTGGTAGGACTCTTTTGCTTTCGAACAAGCCCCAACACAATCGGCCCCTGATAACTAACGACGCGTTAGTAGCTACTAATATTTGGAAGGAGCGGAATTTTTTTGTTTCGGCAATGCTAACTCTATTCATTGTACCCAAGGCGGTGTGGTCGACACGCGATTTGAACCCGGAATTTTATCCTGTAATGTCAGCTAAGTTAGGCCTAACGCGCTACACAATTTACACAGGATTCCAACACGCGAACCCAAATATTATCTTTGAATATTAATTTATATTACAAATGCAACATTTTACCAAACGGAGCTGCCGCCTTTACCATTCTATCATTTGTGTTTAGAATCACTATCAGTAACGTTTCAAGAAGATAAATTACCAAACTCATTTTCAAACCATCAAATAAAACCTCTAAGTCGTAGGGTCTACAATGACATTTGATCAGGAGATCGCAAATTTATATCGAAAAATTCTCTATTCCTGTGCGTATGCCTTATTCATAACTTCTCTTGTATATCCCGCTTACGTCACGAGTGAATTTCTCTTTTCCGGTGTGTCGAAATATTCAACTCAAATTATTAGTTGCAATTTTTGGTTGATTTGCGCGAACAGAATCAGGTATTTTGCCATGAAAATAGATTTAACAAAAGAACATTGTGCAGATACATAGACAATTTTTCAAAAAAATGAATGGAGCTTTATTATTGTTACCTGCTGGTGCCCCCTCTAATACAAGTCCTCCGACTGCCCCTGCTAAAGCGATAAGGTATTATGATAGTTAGAACATTTTTCATTGATAAAAGATTATATATTATTTGTTTCTGGATAACCCAGGTCAGGTATGGTGGTCAAGATACACTAACTTAGACTGGAAACCCGTAACCGACTAGTGAACAATTCATTTGAACTCGAAAATAGGACTTAATATATAATATTCCAATATATTTACAACATGCGAATCCGAGTATTATATCTGAATAATAATTTATATCACAATGAATGCAACATATTACTGAACGGAGCTGCCGCCTCCACCATTCCATCTTTCGTAATTAGAATCCCAAATAAAAACGATACAAGGATTTTGGTTGCTGAACTCATATTTAAGCCGCCTAACGACTTCTCTACAATGATATTTGATCATAAGCTCCCAAATTGATATCACAAATATCTCAATTCCTATACGTCATTCATATTAATCATAATTTCTCTTGCATATCCCGTTTCCCTCCCTAGTAGATTCAGCTTTTCCGGTAAATCAACGCCTTTAAACTCATATTTATTGTTTGCAATCTGTGGTTTTAAAGATCAGGAATTAAAAAAAAACATTTTGCACGACTCGAGAATCAGTCTTATCACATCCGTTATTTTCCAATAAAAGTAAACCCAACAACAGAACTATGCACAGATGAATAGACGGGACTTAGCCTATTGGGTAGCCAATGCCATTGCGGTCCTTTCAAAAATAATGCCTACTTACATATTAGTAACAGCTTGCACATGGCCTGATTCGGTGCGGAAGGCGTAAAAACGTCGTATATGAAAAGCACGTCAGTCGTGTGCGAAGCGTGCTCCGTTGGTGGAGAATCCGCGTTCTGACGCAACTTTTTTTTTGTAACTGGCAAGATTCAGCGTGACAACCGACTATAATTTAGGGTGAATGCAGATGAGATTTGAAACACTATAAAATTGTAGATCTCAAGAGACTGTACCATATGTAAATATTGGAATTTGAATCCGATTGATACGTAGTTTAAGAGAAAAACACTTTTATTTCAACAACAACACAATGAACAATCCTATTTAGCGAAACTAACTATAGGCCCATTTTCTGCCGTGGAATATTTTCCCTCTGCTTCCCTAGTTTCGGGCAAAGCAATTTTGTTTGGAAATTATTATATCATCGTGGAAATTTCATAATTATTATTCCGCAACTGCAGGAAAGCATACTGTACTCAGTATTACCTGGCCAATGCTCCAAGTCCGGCGCCTGCCTCTGCTACTTCGATAACTTATGGTATTATACAAAGTTGTCACTGAGAAATTTTTTATATTTCTTCCAAAGAGATGGATACCAGATTGGGCATGGAATAAACTAACTAGATAATTCTCACAGATCATGGACAGTGGCAAAATCCGTAACTGATTAGTTGGTACTTAATCCAACCGTCGACTCAAAAAAGTTTTATATTAACTCGTTATTAATTGTGCCCACGGAATTTGTTCAAAAGTAATAAGGGGTGACATTGTGCGAGTGTTTTGAATGTTTAGGTTTAGGACGATATGCCATTGAAAGACTTTACTGGAAAACAATTAAATTTTTATCATACTATAAAGGTGTATTATACTTTGTCGGACCAAAAGGCCTTATACACGTATATTTCTAGGTTTGAATACTGCTCGTTTACAACTACTGCTTGAAAATCTAACTTTATTTAATTATTTGCCAAAAACGCACTATATACTAATTTTGTTCACTTTAATACAGAAGGAAAATCTTTTTCTACAAATTCAGCGAAAGTAGACATGACATATTTAACTCCAATCCAGGTTTTCAAGTTAAATCTAAAATCTCTTATAACGTATCGTTACCAAATTAATACACTCATACATATATTACCAACGAGGTTTGCCGACTCTGCCACGCTACTTTCTGTAATTGTCATCGCAAGTAATAACATTATCACGATTTTAGAACATAACGTTACTGTACTCATACTTTGGCGGTCAAATAGCTACAATAGTATCTAAGAAAGCCGACAAGTGTTAGTATCAAACTTTAAATGTATGTAGCTACTGTTATTATACTTGAACCAGCAATATCTCTCTGCAATATTACAAGGTAGCCGCTAGAAAAACAGAAAATTTGTCAAGCAGCTATTTTTTTTCACAAAGAATAACTTTCACAAAGCTTTTCAAAGGGATGGGTTATATTTCGTTCATAGATGCTCAAAATATTGTCCGTGGACTTCAGAGCAGTGTCTCAACCTAGAAGTCCAAGCTTGTGTAGCGTTTTGAAGGTTAATTTGTGGGATATTGTTCCAATTCAACCTAGACCTATATACGCATTTTATTCGTGATCTCATCTGATCTTGAAATTTTATGCCTTCCTAGCAGCCACCCTGCATATGCTCAAAAAAGCAGATTTTATGAATATTTCAATTTTAACGCGCCATACATATTACTCATAATTTCTCTTGCATATTCCGATTTCCATCCTGATCGCACTTCCCAAAAATCGACATCAACTTAAAAATAATTGCATGATTTGCAATTTTTGGATAAAAAAATCAACTATTTTAAAAAATTTCGGGTATCATGAATAGTCTATTCATATGATATTAAACCATACTCCCACCAACTTCTGCTTAATACATAACCCATCTGAAACAATTTTGAGCAAAGGCGTGTAAATATATATCCCATCATTTTTTTTATTTTTCATCTACCGTATTCTATTTTTCATCCCCTTTTTTATAGCATCACTGAAGAATGGGTGAATGGCAATATACATTGCACATTATTTTATTTTAAACCAGAACTTTTCAAACTTTTTAGACCGCGCGCCCGTTTTAGAATTTGTTAAGTCTCGCGCCCCATCTCAGAAATAGCTATATATATATACCAATGAGCTACAAATAACAGATTGTAAGACGGAAGTATGCGACATTCAAAAAACACGTTGAAAATATTTAGATGGAACATAAATAGTAAAATAAGTTTCGAAATGTAAATATCCAAAATAAGGCGGACAACATCAAATCTAACAAATATTTTTATTTTTCCATTAGCTTCACGCCCTCTCAAAAACGCGTCCCACTGTTTGAGAACCACTGAACTATATCAAATTTTATTTCAAGACGATGTCTCTGCTTACAATATCATCATTTCAAAGTACTGTTCCTCTCTAATATTTGTTTCAAATTGCAGCAAAAATTAACCATTATTGGTGTCACCTGCTAGTCCTGCCCCGCCGAATCCCAGTGCTATGGCAGTATCGCCCGCATGTGCTTCTAATGTCGCCGCATCTCCCGTTTCTAAAACGAAATGCACATACATTAATTTGCAACTTCAATTCTTTGAGTGGTTTACAATACCTTGGATCACACTATCTAAATCTTTCATCGACCAAAGTTTTTAAATATGGTAAGAAAGTAAATCACCTAGCTTTTCTTCTAGCCAGTCTGGGAACCAAATTATCCCCCCGCAAGGTACAACATAAATATTCAAGAATGCCAATGCAATAACATTCGAGAAATTCAATAGAAACTCCATGTTTCTGATCGCATTATTTAACACCTATTCACAGTAAAACTCTCCTTATATTTTATCTGTTTTGTTTCCGGACGGTCTCACCACTTCCCTATTTATTCAACCAATCCTGCACGCATTGCCGGGTTCATATCACCAGCACGTCATAAAATATTCATAGAAATATTTTTGACATAAAGAGCGAGGTTTTATGGTAACGACTATTCGTGAAAGTTGCTTGCTCGCCAGTATGATTTGCTCGCCATCATATTGCTAACTAAACTTCGTAGCTTTGAGTTGGGTTGCACGAGACTAACTCCCTATCCTTCCTCTACGCCTTTATGCTAGTGTATCCTTATGTGTATACTGCAAGGATGATAAACATGATTATTCTATCCAATTTAAGAGTGCAGCAGGACTCTTTAATAGGATAGAATAAACTTCACAGGTTCGCAAATACGATCCACCCAATGAACTGCAAATTACGTGCAAATATTTATCCGTGGTTGTTATCACCATTGTAATCCACTTATTCGATGGTCGTTTACGGCCTTGGGATCTTTTGTACAAAGCCCCGCAAAAACAAAACACCCGTGACAACACTCAAAATAAGAAAAATACCAATTATTCAGAAAATGTTAGGAATGCAGATTATGATAAAAAAATTCAAATCAGTCATAACCCCAACTGGATAATTATTAATCTGTTATTTATAAACGTCGCGTTTTTTATTTTATTTTTCAAATCTCACATTCTTGCATTAGTGGCGGTGGCTTTGTACAAAAGATCCCAGTCTTGTCTCTTTCTCTATACATCACTAATGTTTAAGTAGTTAGCTATTTTTAAATTGGCCATAAACTGCAAATCCGGCGTCAGTCGGCATTTACTGGTGTCTTATGCATCACTGTGATTTTATACTTCTTCAGTGTAACTATTGGCTCTTTAGTAAATTTGCTCAGATATATATGTGTATTCTTCACTTCTGATTGGGCTAGCAAGATCTTGTTTTGGCCAACCTTTTTAAAAAATAAATTGTGAAAAGCATTATATTTGGCTAACTGTCTGCAAGGTTTATTCGGTTTAACATGCGCAACAACAAGAACATGAATAACGAGAATATCGGTTGGAAACCGAAGACTTATCGATCGATAGTTAGGGGATCCCCAAAACAGAAACTGCAGTTTCGATTCATCCGCTCTTGTAACTTGCGCACTGCGCATCGCACACACACACTCGGCGGGTTTCGAAATTCTCTCGCTTTACAAAAATCTAGATCACTATATCAATAATTGATTGATAACTAGCTGATTATACGACATAATTCGCCCGAAATCAATAGGCTTCTGGTCCGAGATAAGATGAATGCACATGCAAAATCTGGAGCAGATTCAATCTCGCTTTCGTGAGATATCGCGTGCATCTAACAGACACACACACAGACAGACAGACATACATACAAATACCTATCAATATACTTACCGATCTTAAGATCGATAAGTAATAATCAATTGTTATGCAAACAACCCATATTTTCAATTTGGGTCTAAAACTATGATTGTCTTACAGCTCACTTTTTATTTTTACTTTCCTAGTCATCATTGCATGCTTCCGCACAAATATTTATTCGGAATAAAACGAAGTACCATACATATTAGTATTACCTGGATCACCCACAAATTTCCAAACTTCTTCCTCTACCTCTTGAGCTGTTAAAACAAAAATTACTTGAGGCGATATAGAAAATCTCCAATTAAATGGGAATTTTCATGATTATCTTGAAGAGGTTGAAAGGCGATTTGGACAAACGAGAATCATGCCATATCGTCTGGCTAGCCGCCAGAAGAGAGACAGTAAATTGATTTACCTCGGTTTATCATCAATTTAAACTAACCAAGTATTCATCTGAAACTACGACAAAGCTTATGCCTAATATATATTACCTTGTGCTGCCGATTTCACATCAAATCCTGTGACAGCTAAAACGAGATATATTTATTTAAGTTATACCTTAAGTATATTTCCCAATGCCCAAGGAGTAAATTTACCCGATTTTGAGAACATCTGACTTACATTAATTAACACTCACACCATTAGAATATGAAAAATATATGGAGAAACATTCACCTGCCCAACTAAGACCAGCGTTTGCTGCAAATAATGTAGAAACCATACATAAAACACTCATTATACCAAGTAAAGTGTTTTCCAGTGCCATATTCTTGTTCCTCCAGTGACTGTGCGCAAATGAAAAAGTAAAATCAGCAATAATGCTATGAATGGGCACGATTTAAAGTCCGTAATATCTTCCGGTTTTCTTTAAACGCCTTTCCGGGTAAAACTAAATTGCAACTCACGTGAGAAAGTATCCGAAAGAACGACCCCATATCCTCATCGGTATTTTCAGCATTACCGCTAATATATAATTTCATGACCAAAATCAATTTGTTCTATTGGTTGAAACGAAAACTTCTCCAACCGCCACTAAACACTTGACGCGTTTTTCACGCGAGTGTGGCCGATTTGTCCGACGTGAAATACGCACAGCGGTGATTTCTTCAATAACAATGAAAAGGTGTGGAGACGCCGGGGATCGAACCCGGGGCCTCGCGCATGCAAAGCGCGCGCTCTACCACTGAGCTACGTCCCCAACGAGGTAACTCGTATGGGTTATTTCATGTGATAGTTATCGTTATCATTGTTATTTCTTCTGTGATGATGGATCAATCGAATTTGGACTACTTACTATTAAAACCAGTAAAATTAAATGAAAAAAATACACTGGTTGAAAGTACGCGAAAGACAATTTGAATGAACAACATCAACCAAAACAGCGTGGAGATGATGAGGATCGAACCCGGGGCCTCGCGCATGCAGAGCGCGCGCTCTGAGCTACATCAAAATAAAGTGAATGAGAATATTCCGTATGCGGCCAGTAACATTCATTGAATAACGAACGGTAGGCAAAATCGACTGGTTGAAAGTCCGCGATAGGGCAATCTGAATGGATAAAGACAACCAAAAGAGCGTGGAGACGCCGGGGATCGAACCCGGGGCCTCGCGCATGCAAAGCGCGCGCTCTACCACTGAGCTACGTCCCCAACGGTATGTCGCGCCCTGATTATTTATTATAACGAAATCCTAAGCCACTTGTGATCACTTTTGTGTTGATAGATAGTGGGAATAAACTATTGTTCGGATCGCTGGTATTGCTACCTACGTTCCATCTAAGCTAGTCGTTTTCAACCGGTTCCAATTTGGCTATTGTACAGATACCGATGGAAATTTCCACTTCGACTATATATTACAATTCACTTTATGTTTTGATTACATTAGACCAATGGTTCCCAAACTGTTGGTCGCGACCCCGTCCGAAGATTTTCCGGGGTCGCCTAATTTCTGTCAAACATGCGCACACAAGTGAATAGAATTTGAAAGTTGGAAAGTGAAATTTGTGCTGGATGGCAGGTACCGTGAAAGTGCCTAACTTCGGATTTTTTAGCAATAACTCGACCATTGATTGTTCAAAATTGCTCGGTCAATTTTTCACGTGGTACTCAACCTTGTATCAGTGTAGCCGCTTGGTTTATAGCTGTGGGGTCGCGAGTATCTGTAGGCTTTAATTTTATAAAAATTGGGGTCGCGAAAAAAAGTTTGAGAACCACTGCATCAGACGACTACGCCACTATAGCTTTGTACCATTTAGTTTTCAAATTAAAATGACCTTGCTTTTCTTCTTGGCCAATTTGATAGCGTTTAAGATCTGCCCCAGCAAGTACGACAATCATATTTAAACATACTAATGCAATGACATTGGTGAAATAGAACAGAAAACCCATGTCTCTGATATAATCATATACCACCTATTCACAATGGAATTTTCTTTAAATTTTGGTTGTTTTGTTTGGCCCCGGAAGGTCTCACTTTCTTACATATTCAATCAATCCTGTACGCACTGCCGGGTTCATACGAACTACGTCAGAACGTATTTATGGAAATATTTCTGAGTTGAGACGAGTGCACTTGAGTGGGTAACTCAACTCTCGTAATAATGCTGCATATACGGGGGATGATTACCTTGCAAATACAATACTTTTGACCAGTGGTTCTCAAACGGTGAGGCGCGACAATTTTGGAGAGGGCCTGAAGCTAATTGAAAATATTTGCTAGATTTGATCTTGCTCGCCTTATTTGTTTCTAAAACTTTTCCTTTATTTCAATATTTACATTCCATCCGCGTATTTTCAACGCGCTTTTTGATTAAAACATACTTCCCTTCGCCTTACTCTCTGTTATTTGTAGTTCATTGTTAAGTAGCTTGTTAGCTAGTTTTGGAAGTGGGCGCGAGACTTTTACAAATTCTAAACAGGTGGCGCTGAATAAAAATTTGTAAACTACTGCTTTTGAATATATTAACAATTACTTTGCTGTGTCATTTATTCATGTTAGAAGTATACGGATATACTATGATAATGCTCACAAACTTAGAGTCGGACTGGCGGTGTCTACGTTACAAAATGATATTGACCATCACGTATATTTATTTAAGTCTCGTGTAAAACATCATTTATAATTTTGGCAATTTTCTTGAGTTTTCGTCCTATGCAGGTTTTGTGCGATTTTTATTATAGTTGAAAATGAATCATCCTAAATAACCGGTTAACGAAAACTGTGTGTCTGTATATAAGGATCAAAACCTATAAGGATCAACATTTGTATTTCATTGGACTGGTAGAATAGATAATCTTTCTGCTGTGATTCAGAAGGTAATGGAAACTAAACTTAAAAACACCAAAAGTAATGTAGTATAGGCTGAAATAGTTCTCAATGTTCGTTGTGCTATAGTGCTATATCGGCAAATGCTCGTTTAATGAATGTAAATCTTAACTTACCCATCGGCTGTGAAGTGCTGAGAAGATCTCCAATTTCAATATCGGATAACCTGTTTGTCTCATCTTGAATACTTGCATGAGCTTTCTACACTGAGAATTCCAAAGTTCCTGATGCTACTACATCTTGTAGGGTGCTAAATTAGACAAAATCTGCATTTAAACAAAAGATGAACACAGAACAAAGCGGTATCTAATCTTTCACAGTACCGGCTGTCAACTTTCTTTTAAAAAAATCCCGAATTTCCTGATCACGAGATTGCTGAATTGCTAACGCGGACCCACCACAAAAGGGCGTATTTTTTAATTTTTATGACGTAATTACACAAAAAAAAAGTGAAAAGCCATAGCATCCACAAAAATTTATAATATAAATTAAAATAATACCCTTCTAACGACAAATACAATCTCGAACTACTGGAAATTTTGAAGCAATTAGTCAGTAATTAAAGAGAAAAGCGTTTATATACCACGAAGAATACTGACAACAGCAACATAATAACAAAAAAATCCGCAGGTTCATTTCGTGTCCAATGACTGCCCGGACAATCACAAAAACTAAGAATTTAAACTAGGGTATCTATCAGAATCTTGCATTGTAAACAAGTATGGAGACTATTGAATAGAAAAAAAAAATGCGCAAATAAACTCGGCATATCTTCTTATTACTGAATGAACTTTGGAATGCAAAGCAGGTGCTGGTTGAATTGGGAAATGACTGACACCAGTGGAAGATACATGCATACCTTACATTCATCTGATTAGTTTTTACTTCTACATGTTTTCCCTTAAATTGAAAGCATTTTCGAAAAGAAGTTCGACTAGACCAAATAATAAATCTCAATTCATGGTGAAATTAACACATTTCTAATCCAAAAGACGTACTTTTTATGAAAGAAAATTGGTGTATTTTGTTACCTACTCACGTATTACAATTAACGATAACAGTACGGGTTCTGATGCCATTTCAACGAAGACAATACTAAGCGCCATACAACAAATTATACGTTATAAAGTACAAACTGCATTTATTGGTTTTATGTGCGAAAGTTGCAAAATACGTTGTTCCTCGTTATTCATTTCCTTTTGAAAACAAACGTTTTGTGCGGATATATTCACGATAGTATCACGTGAGTAACTTGAAACCGTGTCCGGAAATTTTGCCGTAGGAAACTCCGCCGCAGGAAATTTTTCTATGTTGCGTACGCTTGAAACCTAACGAAAGTCAATAAATATATTACATCAAAATCTCTATTTTTTCACAAAATATTTACAGTATTTCTTACCTTATATAGCAATGTTCAGTTCAAAAGAAAATAATATACTTTACAATATAAAAATTGGATTATTATGCAACTGCTGCAATTCCATGGAACAGAAATTCATATTCCAAAACTGAAATCTTTTTATTTAAAATACAAAACTGACAATGAACACCTTCAAATTCATCAAAACATAAACAATGAATAAACTTTGATGCTATTTCATCCAATTTATCGACCGACTTTACCATCTCGTATTCAACCAACGCTGTTTTGCTATCTCGAACAAGGCGCTGAGCTACGAGTAATTGAATATACTTAAGAACGATCTGGACGCTTTCATTTTTATCAGAATACTCTAGAAACACTCCATCGTCAGCCCACGCTGAGTCGGTGTTAACTGAATCATCTGATGGAGTAAAGTAAGCATCTAACAAGTTGTCCAGATTAGAATACATTTCTGCAACTTCGCTAGTACCATCATTGATGCGATTCTTTATTTGATCTACATTGTATTTCACGTTTTCTTTAATTACCGCTTTTTGTTCAGATGAAAGGTATTTCGAAAATACTATTGGCTTACATTGTCCGTTATACTTGCATGGAAAATGAGCGCAGAAAAAACTGGTGAACGCGGTAGAGTATAAATTGATTCCGGTTTGGATCTCGTTCAATTCGGCTATGAAAAAAATAGGTAAACCTTATTTATGAGAGTTATCAGCAGTGGTGGATTTCTAAATTTTAGGAATGGTTTCTCAAAATTTTGTATCGAACTCGTTAACATAAGTTCTCTCATTTCTGCAAAATGTATGCAGGTCACTACGTAAGCAACAATAACATGACATGAAACGCCAAAAATAACGCATTTGCTGTGGTCGTTTGAAAGAAGGCGAATTAGCTGAATATTGCGGAATTCCGAGAACGGGGGGTAGGGACACTGCTGTAGCCAGTAAAGCTTTTTTGTGATTCTGTATAACAGCAAAAATGTGTGGTTATTTCGTTACTTGGAACATTAGTGAACTATAAATTGGTTCGGAAAATTGGCTGATATTATCTTTATTTTTTTTTGCAAGGTTTTGTTGTGTTAGTGACATAAAATTCTCAATTTTGCCAAGTATTAGGTCCACCCAGAAGCATGTGTACCAAGATGGCGCACAACCTGAACACAGTAAGTATACCAGGGTAGGGTTCAGGTTGTGCGCCATCTTGGTGCACATACTTCCGGAGCACCGATCCTCTTTACCCTCGTTCAATAAATGCAAATCGTAACTTACCCAGCGGCTGTGAAGCACTGAGAAGATCTTCTAAATTAATATCATATATCCTATTTGCTTCATCTTGAAGATCTAAGTGTGCTTTTTTCACTGGAAATTCTAAAAGTGTTGATGCTTCATCATGTAGGGCGCTGAGTACGACTAGTTGGTCTGTTATAACATCATGTATATAAAATAAATAGTACTTTTCTAATCTAAAAATTATTCTTTATTAAGAAAACATATTTTCCGATACTCACCCGAATATGTCCGGGAAACGTCTCCGGCATGAGCACGAAAGAAGAATATAGCAGCTAATAATACGCTTCCTGATTCCATTTCGACACAACCAATGATAAGCCCCATAACATGAATGATCGTTAAAGTACAATTCTGCAATTCTAGCTCATATGTAAGGAAGTTGCAAAATACGTTGTCATTAGTAACACATTTCCTCATAAAAGGAAACGTTCCGGTAGTCTGAATCATGACGATACATAGCTCAGGTACCAGTTCAAATCGTATATATATATATATTGGATTGATTGACCAGTCAGTTAACCGTTCCAGATGTATAGGCTTGGTTTGTATAGAAAGTCATTTACGACTGGTGGTTATGTTCACAATCTTAGAATAAATAAGAATTTCGACATGATCGTTGCCGTAAAATATTATTTATTACAAATTCAATCAGTCTTACATTCATGCATGTCGCTGGCGCTTATTATTTGCCTATTTTTTAGACCGAAACTGTCCTCATTTAGGCCGTATCTTCCATTTGACAATTTCCTGATCCCGTTCAAATACGTCTTTACTTATTATGCGCATCTCCTAATTTCTCCAAGTAGGCTACCTATAAAAACTATTCTAAACACTTAAATTGACATACGCCTCCATCTGGCAGTTTTATTCTTTATCTTGTTATAGGTATTGTATAACATACATTCAATGCGATACGTACTCCCGTAGTATGTGTACCAAGTTGGGGTTAGGCCATAATTTTATTCCGATTTTTTTTATTTTTGTTCTATTACGAGTTCGGGGACTGTCTGTGTTAGTCAAGTGGATATACCTAGTGTCCATAGGTTCCAGTCCCTTTATACAACTTGATGTTAAGTAGGCAAACAAAATTAGTTACCTCCATATTGGTACACACACTTCTGGAGCGCCAATCCAATAACCTAAATCCCTGCGGTAAATGTTCAGAAGATTTACTATCCAAATGACGTCAGCAGATATGTAGTCATAATTATACCAATGTTTGAGAAAAGAAGAAATCGCCTCACGTCCTCAAATCACAAAAGACAAATACTAAACGATTTTATTAAATTTTATTTTCACTCTGTATGTAATAAAGCACAATCGTACATCAATAAAGCAATAAAATTGTATGAGAGACGACTTTTATCATATTAACAAATTATTTCAGCACTTTATAAGCTCAAACATAACTATACATACCTAAAACAGGCAGAATAATAAAACCAAGAAAGGTTTAGCATGCAATATTTTATATATAAATGTATACATAATGCTAAAATGACTTTAATAAGGAAACGCTCAACAAATCAAAAAAGAAAAAGTTCTAAATGAATCTTTATCTTCCTTAAGTCCAATAAAAGATAGAAATCTATCGAATTGTTGAATGTACAGTTTAAATAATTTCACGTTTTTTTGACTCTGTTACGAAAAGTATTTTGGAAGTTTCAATGTCCTCAAGCTGTTTGTATTGGTTATTTAGAAAGAATATCCATAATAGCTCATTATAATGATTACACATAAATTCTAGCAAATATACTCAAATTTTATCATAGTATATAATATCGTACTATAAAAGAATTATTCAGAGATACATGCAGAGATTGGCATAAGTCTATAAATTTCTTTCTGATCACAGGCTGCAAGTCTTGAAACTAATTTATTTCTCATGAAACACGAGTACTCTCTATTCTTTTTCAATAATGAGGTTTGCTTCTGATGTAGCTGAACCGACCGTATTTTCAGCAACAATCTGAAATTTAATGATTTCTGAATTATTAAAGTTTTTTTTACAAGACGAAATAAAAGAAAATGGCCCATGAGCGGAACTAAGGGCAAGCGCTCAAATGCCCATGCTAGAGTTATTGATAAATTAGTATAATTTGATTGAAGTAACAATAAAGAATGATGCTGTTTCGGAAACTGAGTGGTAAATTTTCATCAACTTTTTTGTGCAACAAAGAATAATAAATCTTGAAAACCACTGGGTAGCATGATGCACCAAGCACCATGCGTCACTGTTTTATACAGGTGTCGTGTCTGTCTAAAATCTAACATAGGTTACCTTATAAACTCCAGCATCTGATGGTTTTGTACACTTGATGACTAGACGACACAATCCAATAACATTTTCTTTAAAGTAATTACAGTTTTCACTGATATTTTTATTATCTTTGTACCACCTGAAAAACAATAAATGATTCAGATTACAAATTTTCGAACAAAAAATAAAATCATTTATTAATATGCTTTGAATGTTCTTACGTTATGGAAGGCTGTGGCTTTCCTCCAATAGAACAACTGAGAGTAACTTTTACTCCTTCTGGTACGACTCTTGCCTTTAACGGCACAGTGATAGATGGTGGTTTTCTCAGATCTTTCTCGTCATACTTCATTTCTTCAATTTGTACTTTAGCTAATGCAGAATGAAATAAATATTAATAGTAAAGTTAAAATGAGATAATATATTCAACATGAAAGTTGTACATATACGATAAAAAAAGATAGGTAAACGACTAAGCATTCACTAGATCTACTTTCAAGAAGGGTTATTTAAAGTTGAAAGAGGATTACTGGACTCATCACCGCCGCAGTGTGGTTCCCATAAACGGACGAGAGGCCGAGATTAGGATCTTATAGGCTCTTTCCTGGATAAATATGTTAATCCTTTCCTATCTATATAAATCATCTCACCGACAGCTTGCTTGATATAAATTACAGTCTTGCATTCAAGAGGATCGCTTCTTCCAATCTCGTTCTCAGCATGGACACGGAAATAGTAGGATCGAGATTTTTCCAAATTATCAACAACGTACTCGCATCTCTGAACGTTTTGAGCAACTGTCTGCCAATCTCTGAAACATATCGGTTTGTAATTGGAAAAATAAAGATAAAGGATGATAATATTTTACGAGCATGAAACGGTTTTTCAAATCCAAATGAATGGTAAGTCACTGATATAAGTCCGTTATTTGTATAAATAAAACTGGGGTTTAGAAAAGTCGTTACCCACTTGTCCCAAAGTTGTTACGCTTTTATCTAGTTTGAGCACACTTATCCCATATTGCTAAACTTGCCTAGTGTAGATATATACCGTAGGAAAAAGGGGTAGGGTAAGTATATATATATCGATTGGGTTCCATGCTATGTGCCTGGTTAGGATATATATAATACTTTGGCGGAAATTAAAGACATTCATAGGAAGTGAGATTGATACAATTGGGACACGTTTGACTGTATCAAATATATAGAGTTCAAGTCCGTATATTAATAACAAATACCTGGCTAACTATTCCCATATATTACATGGACTGGTAACCGACGTGAACTACTAGTCTTATTGAATTTCCTCAAAAAAAATAGAACAATCCTATCCTTAGATCATATTATTTATTTGCATAAGTATTTAAAAAAATTGTACCTAATTTATGGAGGAAAAATATTGAAATTGAATGATACAATAACACCTCTATATTATATGACATTGTGCTTACATTCTAACACCTCCTGAGTCCGGTGTGATGGGTTCCGAAACGAATGCGAGCCAAAAAGATCGGTGCGTTGAGCTCCGTCTGACGGGGACGCAAAATTAAACAAATCTTATGTTGAAAATAGAAAATAATTTTAGTATTACGAGTAAAAACTACCGTACCTTCCTCTAGCCTCGCGTCTTTGTATCACATATCCTTTTATCGGTTTTCCTCCATCGTATTTTGGTTTTCCCCATCTTAACGTGATCGCCGAATCAGTCTCGTTGGAGACCTTCAAAGGACCGGTTGGTGGAGTTGGAGAATCTATGAGAGAAGAGAATTAAAAACGAGGTATTCCTGATATTAAAAGTAGATCCTAACGAAGTGAATGGGCTATTTTCAGAAAATTTGCTCAAACATGTTCACGAGCACTCACTCATAGGTGAAGAAAATCATTTAGTGACCGAGCAAACGTACGAGCGACTGAAAGAGCCGCAGAAACTGCAAAGAATCTACACTTCCTACCGTAATGTGGGGAATTACTTGAATTACCAATAACATTTTAAAATCCGACATTTATGTTCTATTCTAATCTCATAAATAGCGGATAAATTTCTTTTGATTGCTGCTACCTATTATTAATTTATAGCAGTGTTCCAACACCCCGAGTAGCGACTTACATCGACTAGCGTGGGTGAATTTATCCTTTCAACATCAATCCGTACACACCCATCATTAAATATAACTTACCGAAAACTTTGACTGGTACTTTCAATGTGTCAGATCCCGAAGTATTGGTGAGTGTGACCGAGTAGATGCCAGAATGATATCCTCTTGCATGTCTGATGATCAGTTGATCTATTCCGATAGAACTGATGATTTCACAAGTTACATCAATTTCCTCTCCGTCCTTTTTCCAGACTATCTGAGGCCTAGGCCTTCCCTGGGTAAGAAGAATTATTTATAATTAATTGTATATTTATGGATTTACCGATTCTATAAGTGGAATATTATTCAATTTTTAACGTTTTGTATCAAAAACTATTGTCTTTCATAATTCTCGCCATTAAAAAATGACCTTTGTTATAGATTTGACGATTGTTTCGCAAAATTCTGTTGTTTTTCGATTTTAAAAGTAATTTCGAATTCCGAATAGCAATTAATATGAATTTCGAATACTCAAAATGCAAGCATTTTTCAAATCTATTATTTTATGTGCTAAATTTGAACTGAAACTTTATATGAGTTATGATTACAGATTGCAAACTTGAATTCTTAGAAAGTACCACGTATTTCAAATTTGTTAATACAAAGTTGAAACCTATGGTCGACTTATAAATTTGCAAAAATCACGATAACAAAAAATGTACGCTTTCACAAATCAACTTTAAATTTCCCAGACTACTTAATAGCATTCTAACTACATACTCAAATGTGCTATTACTGTCACTATTAGCCATACGCATATCTCCAAAATCACTAACCATGCACTTACATGGTATGGAACATTGATTCTGATTGTGCTTCCTGCGTTGATTTGGAATCCATCTCTCACACATGCTTCCAGTTCAGGCGTCATCTTGAAAGTTGGAGCCACTGAAACAAAACATAAATGAGTTGACAATCAAGGATAAGTTTCGAAGAGTAAATGAAAAGAGAGCAGTTCGTTGATAGTGAAACAATTCGTCCAGTATCTCGAAATAAATATACGGGACATCAATCAAAACATTGATCTAAATAGCTATATACATTTTTAAGCGCTCTTGTTCCTGCCGTCCACTAAGGGTTTGCAAGCAGTGTGAGGGCGATTAAAGTATTATATGTATTCTGAACTAGAAAATAGCATAAATTCCACTGCATATGCTTACTTTGATCATTTGCCCACAATAAATTATACCTACCCCAATTCAGAACAATAACACAAGTGGGCACTATATTTTTAGGATCCCTGTGTAGCGTTTATTTATTTTACATTTGTTTTACATCGTTTCACAGACGCACAAAGTAAAAATACAAAAATAAAAACTTACTCATTACTTCCACAGCTGTCATGACACCTTTGTAGTAATAGTACCGGCTTCTTGCGCCTCGATTCACAGATCTCATTCGAACATTGTATGAAGCTCCCTCTCTCAAACCTCTCAGTACACACGACGTTCCCATGATTGCTCCGTCTGTCCACAGTTGCCAGTTATTCGAATTTTCCTGTGTACGTTTCATTACATTTATTGGGCACGAAGACTACATATGGATAATTCTTTAGTACTCCCATAGTGTGTGTACCAGGTTTGGGTTAGGCCATAATTTTATTCCGATTTTTCTTATTTTAGTTCCATTACGAGTTCGGGACTGTCTATGATATCCAAGTAAATACCCACTGGCCATAGGTTTTAGTCCCTTTACACAACTTGATGTAAAGCAGGCGAACAAAATTAGTTACCTCCATACTGGTACTCACACTTCTGGAGCGCCAATTTTTCTAAATTTTTGTTGTTTGGGAAATATCTGTCTTTTGATTTCAATGACGTTTTTAAGGAGTTTCACATCCTCACTCCAACTGAGCTTTGAATGAAAAACTATCAAAATTATTTATTATGATTGAGTCGCCATAAAGTTAGTTTCAAATCAACATTCCAACAGAAATAATATTTTTGTTATATAGAATTTCGTTCGAACTCCTATTATTTTTATGATGCATTTTTACATCTTCAATCCGAAAAAAGTTGTAGAAAAGCAGTCTGAATTTGTAAATATTTTTTACCACAAAGTTCATTTTATATGGTTGCTCTAACCATTTTCATAAATGGACATTCCCCATTCTCAAAAACGTACTTATTCCTATTTGCACAAACGTACCTCTTTGATCTCAATCTCATATCCAAGAAGGTCTGCACCGCCATGTTGTTCAGTTCCTTTCCAAGCTAATGTAAGTGATGAATTGGAGGAGTCAATCAGTTCCAAATCTGAAGGCTCCCCGGGTGCATCGACAGGCGTGCGAGCTGGGAAAGGTTTGGAAGGTGCACTGGGCAGACCCTCTCCTGCAGAGTTAACTGCGATAATGCGGAACTCGTATTCAGTTTCAAATCGGAGTCCGGTGGCCTGGATTTTACAATAAATAGTTTCAATTGATTTTTGAAAAAAAAAAAAAATTCTGGATAATTGATCCTAGTTATTACCGACTGGTTTGTTTGTACACACTTGCTCTTAACATGGCCCTAAAAAAGCATGCTGCAAATCCCTTAAACTTCACCTAGTAAATTTTGTTAAAACTATACAAAATATGGCTTGAGGTTAGGGTTAGGCTAAAATTTTAGCTTAGTCGAATATTCATTCATTCCATGAATAATCATTTGTTGATCTGAATCAGCGTTGTAAGTGTAGCTGCTTGAAGACCCTCACGACTCACAGAATTAAAATTGATCTTTTTTGTTTGCTCTATATTTTCCCATATTATTCGTGATGTATTCATTGTGTTGACAAATAACTGATGGTTGATTGACGAGATTTCCCATTGTTGGAACTCACCACATTAGAAATTTGAGCCCAGGGTTGTTAATTTGAAACGCCGACATAATTACCGCCTTTATAGTCAATTAATATTTCACCTTATATGTTTGTCCTTCCCATGGTTTATCATGGTTACATCTACTCCACGTATTCTGTCCTTTCTTTCTTTTCTCAACGTAATAACCTTTAACCTCGCTACCACCGTCGTCTTCAACCTGCAAAGAAAGATATAAAGTACGAAAAACTTCATACAGAATAGCTATGAATATATTCATACACGCACTTATTTTTCATAGCAATGCATGAACAGGCCCAAAACTCTGTCCTAATTATGCATTTCCAATTTCATATAGAGTATCACCGTACTTTCCACTCATTGTATAAGTTGTGAACCTATTTCGAAAGTTCAGTTTGACAATCATCACAGCCTTGTCGAGCAGGTGGACATGGTGTATGAAGCAGAGATATGAACATAATTAAACTCTAACCAAGAGTGTTGATAGACTTGGGTAACCATTCAACAAAGACTTGAGGTGACTCGGACATGTCCTCGAATAACCGCCAGTGAGACTTAACGCAGTGATTACCTCGACTTCGGACTCGAGCTCGACTTCGGACTCAACTCGAGCTCGACTTCGGACTCAACTCGAGCGCGACTTCGGACTCAACTCGAGCTCGACTTCGAACTCAACTCGAGATCGACTTTGGACCCAATTCTTCGAGAGGCGTGATTTGGGACATCATTCAATACCGCCAACCACTAAACCATTACGCTGATAAATTACAAATTGAGCTATTCACAACTTACCCCCTTCCATGAAATAGTGATGGAGTCGTCAGTTGCTGTATCGAGATCAATGTCTCCTTTAATCTTGGAAGGTGCATCTGGTTTACATGGAAAACAATGAAGAGTTGTGAAATACCAAAAAGTTTCAGTTTTAGTAAGGCTTTCTTTTCAAAAAGTCCAGTTATACTGGGCAGTCACTAGAAAAGCAGAAAATTTGAAGGTCGGACGAGATCATGAATAAAATGCGTGTTCATTCATTTCTTTTTCGATACGTTTTATTTCTTTTAAGTTTTAGGTTGATACATTTTATTTAGGTTCTATTCGATTTCTGTCATATTCTGTTTAAAACATATGCCTTTGACATACTTTGTTAAAGTTATTCTTTGTAAAAATAAACAGCTGTTTGACAAAATTTCTGGCGACCATCTTGTATTAATTAGGCTTTTTATGATCGTAATTATTTGAAATTCCAAAGCTGAATTGAACAAACCATTAAATTATCTAATGAACTTAATGCAACCTTGAAAGTTCTGCCCAAACAGAGCGCGAGTTTCATGGATCATTATTTAGTGTTTCATTGGATATTGAAAAACGAACAGACAAAGTATTTATACATATTGAAGGGAATGAAAAATTTCAAAATTTACAGATGGAGGGATGAATTGAAAAAGAAATGAAAATCACTATATTACACCGTTTTGTGTTTTTAATGCACAAATGAGGTCCGAGCCACTTACGGGAAGCCAGAATCGATCCGGATATTAAAATTTACCTTATTCCCACAGCAATACTATAACTCACCAAATGGATCTTTAACCACCACTGGTTCGGATTCCAAAGAATCGCTTTCGCCCAGACTATTGACAGCACGTACTCGGAATCTGTATGTTTTACCACTTGGTATATTCTTCGCTTTGAAACTCGTGTCTGTAGGATTGGAAGTTCTGCCAACTAAAAAGCAAGATAATTGGTTACGAAGTGACCAAATGTTTCGTTATAACAACTCGTTTATTGTTGTTGTTGTGGATAATGATTTTGTTGTGGTTGGGGCGGCTTTATTAGTGCGATAAAACGCTTTTCTCCGTAACTAATGGAACGATCAATTCCAAATTGTAGGTACTTATGAATGGAAGGAGTCATTTTATTCGAAATTTTTCGAGTTCGAGAAGATCCTATATTTCACCCATAATTTCGCTGTTTTTTTTTTGATTTATGGAAATTTTGCGAACTCATTGCTTAGCGACAGTTGAGTTGCATATGCTGCAGGTACTGGTAAGTTGAGTCATTGGGTACTCTCGTAGTGTGTGTACCAGGTTAAGGTTAGGCCATGATTTTATTCCGATTTTCCTTATTTTAGTTCTATTACGAGTTCGTCTGTGTTAGCCAAGTGAGTATACCCCCAGCCCACATGCTTCCGCTACTTTATACAACTTGATGTAAAGTAGGCGAACAAAATTAGTTACCGGTACCTCCATATTGGTACACACACTTCTGGAGCGCCAGTTATTGTACATCCGTGTCAATATATTTGAGCATTTTCTCTCCTTAGATTTTATTAATAAAACAGCATAATTAATTAATTAGCAAAAGTCGTTACCTGAAGTCCAGTTCTTTTTTCCTTCTTCTCTTTTCTCGATAATGTAGTGACCTATTTTTTCTCCGCCATCGTCTTCTGGAGCAGTCCAAGATACTGTTACTCCTTTGGATGAGATGTCAGAGAAATGGATCGGACCCGAAGGTGACTCCGGCTTGTCTGAGTAAATAAGATAAATGGTAGAATGCTTATAATCGATATTATTTTACTCGAATCTACTGGCATGAATCGCTGAACGCGGCTTTGTACAATCTGTGAAAACCAGGGTTTTGACTATATTTTAGGTTCAGAAGTGTCGGAAATGGGGAAAAATACTAGCCCGATACTTATGGGCCTTGCCTTTGCCACTAGGCCTAATATGGGCAAACTATGGCCCGCGGGCCAAATCCAGCCCGTTGGGTAATTCAATCTGGCCCGCCTGATGCTGCCACAACCAAACTAAAACCAAATTTTAATGTTTTAGCGCTAAAAAAATATCTCAAGGAATTTGTTGAGATTGCGATAAAAATTAGTTTGGCACGAGGCCTATTGTTTTTCATTTTTGCGACAACTCACCAACAACCAGAACATTTATCGGAACTTCAACTTCTCCAGCTTCGTTCTTTAGTTTGACGACATATTTTCCAGAATCGTTTCTTTCGCAATTATGAATCACCAGTTGAGCGTTTTCTGCGTCGCTCACGTCTCTCATAACTCTCTTGTTGTCCTCTGTGTGAAGAGATTTTCAATGGTTATAAATTGTTGTATTACTAGTACGTAGGTGGTAGGTGACAATGACGTTTGTCTGAACGACCCATTCTGAATGGACTCTGGTTCCATTTGATTGCGACATCTCATATTTAGATGATACATGGGACGCACCAGTATCTCACTGGTTCCAGTCCAAGTTAGGTATGATAATAAATAGCTATTTCAATGTTACAGATACAAGAATTTGAATGGCAACTGTAGTCGTAATTCATATCGTTATATCAAATAGAAATCCAATGCAATTTGCATTACCATCCTCCTAAAGATTCGAACCTGCGACTTTGAGATAAAGAGAGCGATGAGCAGCTCAATAGCACATACGACAGGGCGGTCCAAGTTGGCTGCAAATAATTTTGAAAAGGCCCTGCGGGTCTCAGCCCGAAAAACCCAAACTTGATCAAAATACCGCGAGTTTAGGTACTTTAAGAATAGTAAAGATGCGGCCCGCGTGCCCGGGTTTGGAACACCCTGACAGAAGATATTGACTTCGAAATAACAACGCGATATCGCATATTTCATGACACAACTTTACATCTTCCAATCCCATAATAAAATTTACCTTTCACGGGTTCGCCATCTTTCGTGTAGGTTACAGTCGGAGGAGGTTGTCCAGAAACTGGAACCTTGATTCGTCCAGTCTGTCCAGCTTTCACTCTGATCGGAGTCTTAGCAAGTTGTTCCAGAATTTTAGGATCAATTTTTGGTGGTGCTAAAATGAAAAAGATTTTTAGTTGAAACGATGTCGGGAACATTTCGATATTAAAACTATCAGCTGAAAGTCTAAAATGTACGACATTATACAAAGAATCAAGTTACGCGGAAATTAATATTTCCGCGGGATTAATATTTCTGATTGAAGTGTTGTTGGTACCACGAAAACTATTAAAAGTCTTGCAGCCAATTTTATATTTAAACATTCCACTTGAAAGTTGCATTTCAATAACGTTTAGGACTTCCTGAAGAACTTATTCAAACACCACATTCTAAATTACCTAGGTAAAAGTCGCCTATTTATCACACACTGTTTGTTATGGTAAAATACTCCATGAATTATGCGACGATTCAATAATTGAGCTAACACCCTCGCCGTTGCATACTCGATTATAAAAACCCGAAATTTCTAATATTCGTCAACAGAATGAACTTACAAACTGCGGCACCGCAAGTAACTGGTGCAGAAGATACAGGTTCACTGAGTCCTCTGTTGTTCTTTGCTTTGACTCGGAACACATATGTTTCTCCCGGAGCACACTGGGCAGCTGTGAAACTCGTGGTTCCTGGTTTTGTGTCACCAATCTAAAAGTAAAATGAAGGAATTATATCTTATGCCCCTAATTTACGTAACATTTTAAACGTTACATGAGAGAAAGACACAAATATACGAAAACGTTGCTGTCAGATTTTTATGAGCGTACGATGGTATTTGAGCGCCGGATTTTCAAAATCAAATAATAAAATACGGGCATGATAGCGCAGTTTTGTGTAACTGTATGTTTAACTTTATATGTTTTCAATTAGGAAGCGATTGGTCTTGCTGTTACATATGGAAAATTTATTTTTGTCCCACAGACAACAACAAGACTAACTATGTTAGAGTTGCAAAATCGGAATCTCACGTACGAAATTGTGTAAGTCATGCCCAACTGGGAAAATATGAAATTGTCAAAGCATATTGTCTCTCTACGTAAAATTTGCTGTTTTTCCAAAATCGTGTTCACAGCAGTATATTTCACAAATAAGATAAAAGGATTTTCTTACTTTTTCCCATTTATCTTTCCCAGCGACAGATCTTTCGATTTCATATCCAGTTATTGGTTGATTTCCGGTATCTTCTGGTTCTTTCCAAGACATTTTGACCTCTTTAGGAGAAACTTTATCGATACTGACGGTAGCACCTTCCTTGAAAGCGGGAACGTCTGAAAATGAAACAAAATTACAGAATAATTGGGAATCTTCGAAATAAAACTAATGTATTATATGTTTATGGAATTGTCTTTTTAAACTTTGTCAGCTTTAACATTACGAATAAATTAGCTGTAAAAGGTTGAATGAACTGTATGTATGGACACCAACTAGAGGTGACGACTAGTGCTGGGCATTTTTGAATACCTGATTATTTCAGAATCGAATATTTTTTCGAATAGAATCGAATCACGAATACCTAATAGTATGCGACTTTTTTTATATTAATTGGTCCTATTAACACATGAACTACTGAAAACAGAGAATACATCACTCAAACAGATTGCTGAGCGTATGTGTCAGAATTGCGTTGAAAAAATATGGCTTAAAAAAATTGAGGAATTCACCTCGACCATTGACGGTACGAAAAAAAACAAGATGGCGGCGATTCGAAATGCCCATCCTAAGTGACGACACCCGTAGTATATGGTGTGATAAAGCTTCGTTTCTTAGTTTACTTTCCGATCTATATAGGGTCTGTACTTTAAGATATTTATTTATATTGCCCAAAATACCAATTCAAAAACATGAAATTATGACAAAAGAACAGTAATTGTTTCTCATATTATGGGACTCAAATGTACGTCTTGCGGTTGCTTTCGTGTATCTGTGTATCGTGTATTAAAATTGTCGTCTCCCACTTGTCAAGTGGGTCACGTGAGACAAGTGGGACGAGAGGGGCATGTGGGACATGTTGGACAATGGGGACATGTTGGACAAGTGGGATACGACATTTTCGAGACACTGGTTGCTTTTAGTATGATCTTTTGTTTTCTATTTAGTATACGCATGAAAGCGCAAAATAATTAGTTTTTCTATTTCCTATAACTCTGAATATCCTACCATTGACAACGATCTTTGTTTTGACGACAACCCCGCCAACATTATTGAAGATATGAGCTTCGTATTCCCCGTTATCACTGCGTTGACATTTTGTAATTTTCAAAGTAACGTCCTTGGTTGTTGAATCTTTCTTTGCTCTGTGATGCTAAAATTCGTAACGAGGTAAAATTTTAAATGCCCGTTTCCTTGATTGTGATTTTTTTTCGGGCCTTTCAGCCATATCCACATGTAGCAAATAACTAATACAGGAGGCCAAATACGAAATGCGCCTAATTCTGCTTTGAATTTTTGAAACAAATCTTTTATGACTTAAATAAATTTGGAGTCGGTATTAGCATTACGGTTCAATAGCACCTCCATAGAAAGACAGAAACACGAGATCCTTAATTTTATCAAATAATATTGAATGTGGATGAACCTATTCAGATGCCAACATCTTCATTTCATGCACCTTGCACGGTAAGTCGATTAACTATCTTCATACCCGCCCTGGGCGACAGAGTCGAGGTTTATCGTAGAATTAAATCGTATTATCAACTTTCCTTTCCACGAGATGAGACTAAAAAATCTTTATCTTTCTCACCTTAACTGGGAGAATTTCTTCGCCATCATGCATCCACGAAGCACTAGGTGGCGGGTTTCCGTCAACAGGAATCTTAATCGTTGCTGTTTCTCCCGCATTAACTACTATCGGAGTTTTGGCCAGTTGATCAATGATCTGGATTTTGAATAAATTTGAAGTAAGGAATTCCATGATTTGTAGTCAAATATAAAGATTGCAGAGTATGACTATATTTTATTTCAATAAAGTTCAAAAATTAAGTAAGAGAGATAAGAGGTGTGCAGCCTCAAAGAAATTTAGCTCATAATGAATTGAAACTAATCAAAAGTTGGATAAAATACGAATACAGTCTCCACTGTATTGAATTTAGCCTCTTCAAGTTTCACGGTCTCACTGATGCCTAAGATTGTTTCTCATCATGAGGCACAGGAATTGTGAGAAATTTTCCCTTATTTCAATCATGAACACTAGGTTGCGTACTTGCGTTCTAGGAAAAAAGTCTTTTGCAATATCTATTTTCCGTAGTCGTGCCAGTCTTTTGATACCATTTAATTGTATAAGCTCAGTAGGTTCATATTCGGTTAAATGGAATGACTTCTTATCCAATATTACTGCAATAAAGTCAAAGCAACAAAGACATAATCTATTTGTGATCGTTTTTTAGTGTTTCTGGTCTTGCCGCACATTGAATCGCACAATATCACTCCATGTTCCGAGTTGGATGATAGCAACAGTTATAACCTACACGTCCTACAGCGAGAACTCGACTTTAGAGAGGATTGTTTTTCTAAGTAGGTGTGACTATACTTGGAGCAAATTTCCATAAAACAAACATCCAGCTAATAATTTTCATAAAAAACAACAGTAAAAGAAAATATCGTACTTTCTGATCAATCTTTGGTGGTTGATCCGGCTCAATCGGTGTAATCTTGTCAGATTCCAGTGGTTCGCTCTCGCCTTCTGAATTTGAGGATTTCACTCTGAACTTGTGAGCTTTGCCTGTTGCAAGTCCAGTAGCCTTGAATGATGTTTTGTCTGGTTTGACTTTTGCAATCTTTTTCCATTGATTGGTACCTTCGACTGAAGTCAGAAATTAAGTTTTTAATTTGAAATGAAATAGTATAAAATTGGTACTGCCGTCGTGTAGGTCAGGTCCATAATTTCATTCCTATTTTCCTTATTTCATAATTTCATTCCGATTTTCCTTATTTTAAAATTCTAAAAATAGGGTTCGCAGCTCAATAAGTTTGAGAATGACGGATCTAATCAAAATAGTCAATCAGTTTTAAATTCTGAATTAAAACCAAAGTAAATATTGTTCTTACCTTGAGCTTCAATGATGTAGTTATCGACAGGGACGTCCAGATTGACAGGCGGTTCCCAAGACATGGTGACAGCGCTTTTCTCAATATCTGAAAACTTGATTTCTCCGGATGGTGAGTTCGGTTTGTCTGTAAAGTTTATTAATTGATTAAAATTATTTTCGAAAACAAGAAAGTAATGCTTGAATATTTGAAGAAGAATTGCTAATGTCAGACCAGTGGATCACACGAAGAAATGAAAAAGTTCGAACTCACCTACGATTCTGACAGGAATTGCTACTGTGATGTCACCATTTTCATTTTGAATTTTAACTTCATATTCTCCACTGTCAGATATCTTGCAAGCTTGCACTTCAACAATTGCTTCTTTACTCGTGTTATGCATATGAAATCGACCACGTTCTTCCAAAGTAACACGCCCGTTTGTCCAGGACACGCTTTATGAGTAAAACAATTTCTTAGCAATTAATACATTTTTGAAAGTTTATTTTATCTATCGAAACGTACTTGAATATATGATTCAGTGTCGTGAACGCCGGATTTCATTGAACATTTAAAAATTGTGGAAATTTGTGACGTCATAATGCGATTGTCATATTTTGTATTTTAAATAATATTAATAATTCCTGTGACGTCATATTTGATATCAATACAATATGGCGTCATCATAAATTTATCATAGTTTGTGAAAGTATTATGACATCATAAATAAAATTTCAAAAATTTATGTAAACTACAAAATTGTAGTTATAAGCGAGTATACCTCGTGAAAATTTAAGTTTGAAAACAAGTTATGAAGCTCAATGGTGTAATAAAATCTAATTGTATCAGTAAACACTACTTCGCAGCACACGTTCCTAATCGCGAGGGAGTCATCGGTACGCTAGTAATTGAAAATTATAAATAATAGTAGTTCTTACTTCATTGGATCTTTGGCAATTATTGGAACAACGATCTTTGCTTTCGTTCCAGCCTTGAATTTCAATGGATTTTTCCTTACGTTCTCAAGGAACTTTTTGTCGACAGAAGGTGGATCTAGAAAAAGAATTTATAGGTTAAAATCGACACTTTTCGGCGCTCCCGAAGTGTGTGTACCAATATGGAGGTAACTAATTTTGTTCGCCAATTTTACATCAAGTTGTGTAAAGGGACTGAAACCTATGGGCAGGGGGGATATTCACTTGGCTAACATAACCAGTTCCCAAACTCGAAATGAAACTATAATAAGGTAAATCGGTAAAATTCTGAGTTTGAGGTTGAACCGTATTCCAGGGTTGACTTACACATCTGAATCACTGAAGTTACACACTTAACTGTGCTTTGCCCAAGTCAGTGGTTCCCAAACGTTGGGGCGGCCCCACACGGGACAATTTTCGGAGGGAGCGTAAAACTAATTAAAAATAAAAATATTTGTTAGATTTTATCTTGCCCGCCTTATTTAGGATATTTATATTTCTTTATTGTTTATTATAGATTGCGATGCCATTCATATATTTTCAACGTGTTTTTTAAATAAAACATACTTTTGCCGGCGTTACCAAAGTATGTGCACCAAGATGGCGCACAATCTGAACCCTAACCTGGTACACATATTATGTTCAGGTTGTGCGCCATCTCGGTGCACATACTTATGGAGCTTCCTTTCGCGTTACTATCTATTGTTTGTAGGTTATTGTTAGCTAGTTATATTTGAGGTGGGGCGCGAGACTTGATAAAATTCAAAAAGGGGGCACGGCTTGAAAAGTTTAAGAACCACTGACCTGAGTTATGTAACTAAACTATTATCACTATAATAAAATCCAACTTACTTGTACAAGCAAGGTTTGCAGCCTGTTTCACACCACGAACTTGGAAACTGTAATTTCCTTCATCATTGAAATCGATGTTCTTCACAACAAGAATAAACTTCCCTCGGACTTGCTTGAGTTCGTACTTGTCTTTCGATGGCTAAATAACACAAACACATAAGAATACAGAATATTGAAACGCCGTACTACAAGAATGTATAGTAAACACTAGGGTTGCTCTCGATTTTATTGTAAAACGGTATATTCAATGTCATACAACGAATGCGCAGTTGATGCTGTTTTACTTTATGATATTATTCGAGAATCTATACATCAAACACTGAAATTTTGTCACATAAATGACATTTAACAACGGATTCGGGTTTTACTAATATACTTCCATATGTCCGAAGCACGCTGCATATCTATCTGCATATGTATAAATTGTGTTTTTTTTTAGATAGGAATAAATAAGCTGAAATCACTATTTTCAGAGAAAATTTTATGGTAAAGTGGGAAAAGTAAAACCGTACCTATTTAGAATGTTTAAAGTAGAAACAAAATACCGAGAAGGGATCTCTAAACTGTTGTCTGCCAAACTATACTCATAAAAATCATATCGTTTAGGTTAAATGTTATTAAGCTAATAATAATTAATCACTTTTGATGGTGAATGTCTGTGTTTTAATAGAAAAATATGTCTTTTAAATCGCACGTAATACGTTAATTTTAAACTCGAACCCCAGACAAGACCAATTAAAAAGCTTGTATTGCCTTGTGACATACTGTATCACGAGATGTTATTGTCATTCCATATGACTCTCGTACAATGATATTATTTTGGTACCCTAGTAGTATGTGTTCCAGGTTAGGGTCAGACCATAATTTTACCGATTTTCTTTATTTTAGTTCTATTACGAGTTCGGGGACTGTCTGTGTTAGCCAAGTGAATATACCTCCTGCTCATAGGTTTCAGTCCCTTTACACAACTTGATTTAGAATAGGCGAACAAAATCAGTTACTTCCATATTGGTACACATACTTCTGAAGCGCCATTACTTCAACCAGATGTGCGGGGAAGGCCGAAGTTGGTTGAAAATTATTGAAATTATTTATTAATCTTTAACTAGAGGTCATCCACGATTACTGAAAGCTTTACCGAATGAAATAATGACCATTAGTGACCAGTCCCTCGGGATTAATTTGACTCAAAAATCTCTTTCTCTAGACATTGTTAATTCCTTTGCTTGGAAGCTGGATTAAATATGGTGCCATGTTCTACTATGAGCTCATCACATATGCGTACTGCCTATAAATGCGTAAAAAAGTGTCGATTTCATGTTAATTTTCAAACGACTGTTGTATTACACGTCTTCAATTGCTCTATTGTATTCTCACATACTTAGGTTGATCATTGCGGTGTGGTATGAATCGCCGATTTAACTAAAATTTGAAAGAAATTATTGTACTGATATTACAGTACAATTAAAACGGGTGAGGATTGCGTCATGCGTTCCCATAAGAATAAAGGTTTGTCATATTAAGACTAGGGTTAACCATATAATGAGGTTAATAAATGCGAAAGTGGTAACTTCGTACAAAAGTCAGTCTCATGCGTTTTCGAGTCGTAACCATGCTTTAAGCAAATATTCGTATAAAAAGTTAGATAAAAGCCCACACTTACGATTAAAAAATACTAATATTTTGGATTTACGTTGCAATATTTATACTGCACGTGAAGGAGTTATAAATCTTATTTTCATAATTTAGCTATATCTGTTATGCAACTACTTGGTATTCAGACGTTTCAGACCAAATAGGCTCCGAGGCGTAGATATGTTTCCGCTCCGAGGCCTATGTGGGCCAAAACGTCTGGCCCGAAAAGTCCGTGGGCAAAACGTCTGCGAGTCAACTACACTCTACCTTAATTTCTTTGTCATCCTTGAACCATTTGACATTTTTCTGATCAATATCGTCAATTTCACATGAAAATTCAGCTTTTTCTCCAGTACGACATTTCACGTCTTCCATCTTCTTTACGACCTTGATTGGTTTTTCTGTGAAAACAATGAAAAACGATTTTTTACAATAAAGTGAATGTGGATAAACTTTCGTCGTTAAAATTAAAATAAAAAATCAAAGGAAAGCTGGGTGCGAAAAAGTACGTTGTGCACTCCCCTTGTTAAATATCAGTCGCTCTTATTGTCAGAAAACCCAAACCACACTTGTTTTTTTTTGTCAGACTAGACAAGTTAATAATTAGGGCTTGGAATGGTTAACCGGTTAACCGGTTAACCGATTTCAGATGGTTAACGGTTACGATTTATTTTAACCGTTAACTGACATCTCAGGTACAAATCATCTTCATACCGTACAATTTCTTCAAATATGATTACGTCATCGCAAATTTATCTCTTGTGTCATTTAATTCAAAAGAATATTACTAATTGTGTGGGTAAGGACTCAATAAATGTGAAAATAATGGAAGTACAAAGATTGCTGATTATGGAAATTTGACAATGATGAATTCAGAATCAGTTTTCGGTCGATTTCGAAATATATTGTTCACGATTTCATCGCAAAATCGGATATTCAATGTCATACAACAAGTGCGCAGTTGATGCCGTTTTTCTTTATGATATATATCCCGAAGTAAAATTCGCACATCGAACACTGATAATTTGTCACATAAATGACGTTTAACAACGGAATCAGGTTTCCTAAAATACTTCAACACGCCCGAACCACGCTGCCTATCTCTTGAAGCAGAGAAATCATGAAACTATCTCGATTCGTGAATAAATTTTAATAAGCGATACCGGTATAAGAACACGCGAAATTGCTTTATAAGCATTGTGACGTAACAAGCTGAAATTATAAATTATTACGTCAAACGTCACGCGGCGGTTAACCGGTTAATTTTACCCGGTTAACGGTTAAAGTGTTTTCCCTGAAATTCCCAGCCCTATTAATAACATATATGTTAATTACGCTAGATCAACTTCAGTGGTCAAACTACATGTTCCCTGATATCTATATATACGTATATTCCGATTATGTTCTGATTACTCACGGCCTTGTTTAGAGCAAGTCTATATCACTATATCTTGTACGAAAACAATGAAATATTACCACAGCTGCTTGCCTATTGCCCCATTTAGAGCAGAGCTGTAAAACATTATTAAAATAGTAGCATAAATACCGTTGACGTTCAATGTTGCACTTGAAGCGCTGTCTCCAACTTTCACTTCGACTTTTGCTCCGTTATCAGCTAGTGTGACGTTATCAATGAATAGTGAGTGCTTATCTCCAGAGTGAGTGATTTTGTACCTGAAGAAAAGGTGATCAATAGTTTCAATAAAATCTGTGAATTCGGAGGGTTGATTTTGGTGGACTCGAAGTGGACCTAGGTGAAATTTACGGCAGAAGCTCGGAACGCATTTGATTGACTAAGTACTTAGTAGGCAAACAATAAAGGCTTTCACTCGCTAAAGTTTTTGTTTTCAAAAATTGATTTTCTCGGAGTTCGTAGCGGGTGTCGGAGTAAAAATTTATTTAAACAGCTTGGACTCGAGAGTCAATCCTACCCCGGTTTCGGGTGCAAAATTTCTCTCGACTCTAAAGTCCTGCTCATGCTTTTATACTTGTGTGGTATCGGTTCATCAACTTGCGACATTGCTAAAAAAATGCCGCCTTGTTCAATTTTAAATATCGATCCAAATGTGACCAAATTGGGGTCGACAGGTTTGTAAACATCCCCCCATTTTTTAAGAAACATTTGATTTTGTCTTGAAGGAAAAAAAGTATGATATATTATAAGAATATATATTTCTATGTGCGAAGTAGAGTATGATATCCCTAAATTGAGTTGAATACAGATCAATCCTATTACACGCACAACCAAGTATGGGCCTATGTAGATCCTTGTACTAAGCGAAATCGTAAGATCTTGCGTTATATAAATTTCGTACTGGTTCCAAACTCTGTTTATTCACAAAATATAAACTAATTTGAGATGCCGTAAAAATTTCGTTAGAATACCGCAAATATTAAAATCCCAACGCCATTTGTATTCATTTCATTCTGATCACTGATCAATCGATATTTTATTTACTATCAAATTCAAGTAATATTAGAAATACAAAAAGAAACTAGCAGTCAATATTCACACCGCAATGATATACAGGCAATGCAGACAACAGCTGAAACGCAGTGAATGGGAATTCTTCTGGGATTTCATCCGCTCGATCAACCAATAAAATACGAGTCAATCGAGTGACACATAAAATTTCATTGCCTAGTTTTGAATAAGATTCAACATAGAACATATGAGTTGATTCAAGTTTGATTTTGGGAGCTCACGAAGTATGTGCACCAAGATGGCGCACAACCTGAACATAGTATGTGTACTGTACCAGGTTAGAGTTCAGGTTGTGCGCCATCTTGATGCACATACTTCGGGAGCGCCTGATTTTGTTATGCAGATATTGTAATATTTTTTGTTAGACATATTGTTAAATTTTCATTACTGCAGTTAAACAGTTTTTGCTAATTATACTGAAGTGCTTCATTATTTCCTGCTATTCATATTGAATACAAAAACGAAAAACGAAAATATTATTAAATAACTTAAAACGCTTCCTAACGACCACTGTTTGAATTATGTTGGATATGATTTTTAACAATGCAATATTTTTATCATTTTGCATCGCTTAGTCGGAAGTGTTTTATATTTACTATTTACATCGAAAAACAAATGTGAATTAAATTTTCATTTGCGCACTTCAAACTTTTTGCTAAAGATTGCTTAAATTGAATATGGTATTTTCCATAATGCATTTTTTTTGTTACACACCGCTTAAATTAGTTTGAAATGCTTGATTATATATTGGCTATTTACAATGAACAACATATGGAAAATTAAAACTTTTTCGTGTGCTTAGCAAGGTTTTTTTTTTGTAAAAAAACGTTTTTAGAATCTTACTGAATGTTAGGAACCATGCTTCTTTATTTTCGATTTTATACGTACTATATAACAATTTGATATTCCTATTTGAGCTCTGCTTATGACCGTTGGTGGAATAATATAGGGTGTCCATGAAGTCTCAATTTTTTTAAAATTGCAAAAGAAATTTATCGATACCATTTATTGTTCTGGCCCTTACAGATGTATTAAATGAAGTAAAAATACTTAACAATTACTGATTAAAAACAACAAATATGGTTAAGATGTATTGAGAACAAAATTGAAATTGTGAAAGGGACTTTATGGACACCCTGTGGTATATGTTGTATATGGTTGTAAAAGCAAAGTCTCCTGATTGACGTTAATCAATATAAATTTCAGTTAACGGATTTTGATTCGTTTGTAAAAGAATTCTTGGCGAGTGTATATTTTCAAAGACATGCAAAGTTTCTATGAGGACAGATTTATGAAATCTGATAAAGATATTCGCCTAAAAATGAGCTCTGATATAGTGACAAAATATTGTTGCGTTGTGATAGATTTCATTGTTTTAGCAAGATCCCGTAATTTTCCCAAACAATGTAATGCCAAGAATAATTGCACTGCCAATACAAATGGATTCTGATATACAGGGTGTCTATAAAGTCTCTTTCACAGTTTCAATTTCGTTATAAAGTCGGTTTTCAATATATCTCAACCAGGTTTGTTGTTTTTAATCAGTAATTGTTTAAGTATTTTTACCTCATTTAATACATCTGTGAGGGCCAAAACAATATATGGATCGATAAATTCCCTTGTTGAGACTTTAAATGTTGAGACTTCATGGACACCTGTACTTTTGCGGTATTATGCGAGTTTCTCAATGCATTTAACATTTTAATTTACAATTCACAAAATTTCTTGATGTACCTTCCTCCTTTAGTCACAAGTTTTCCGTTAACGAACCACTGAGCTTCAACGTCTTTCGAACTGACTGAGCATTCGAACATTGCAGTACTTCTCTCTTTCACCTCGGTGTCAGATAGCCTGTTACGGAATCGAACTGGTGCGGCTGTGCAGAAAATATAAAATTAAAGATTGTAAAATACATTTTTATTGGATTTACACAATTTTCTTCGCTCCATATTTGTACTGGGCAAGCAGCATTGAATACGAACGCATCTACTGTGTACTGGAAAATGCATGGTAAGAATAGTAGCAGGCAACGAGAAACATGAAAGCGCAGCATTGCTTCATTGTCTAACTTATAGAATAGGATACAATTTAATATTTATCCTGGGGGAGAGAAAAACCGATAAGGCGGCTTAATAATATGGCGAACCACGGCCTCTTGTCCGGTTACGAGTCCACGTCGGGTATGAGATCATAGTTAGGTATTCACACTAGCATAAAAGATTAAGAGATAAAGAAAAAGTATTTTACAGCCGGTAAATTAAATAATTTAATCAGTGTACTCCCAAATTGATTATTTTTAATATCCTACATTGTACAGTGAGAGTGGCGGATGACGTGATCTCTCCAACTTTCGCCGTATATTTGGCTTGGTCTTCTTTCTTCAGTTCCATAAGAATCAACCTAAATTATTTTCAGAGTTACATTTAATATTTTTGACTTAACCAAAAGATAGCATAAATGTAAAGATGTGTTCTAAATTGGATGAGAAAAAATCGGAGGGTCTTGTCTAATGGAATATTTGGGTGGAGACATTCTTAATACTGCGTGAGGTCAGTACATACCAGAATTTCCGACAACCTAAAATATTTAGTTACATTTAATCTTTTTGACTCGACCATATTTTAAACCATGGAAATAAAGTTTCCAAATGGATCAGAAGAACTCAGTGGGATAAGGGAATATTGATGGCGCTCCAGAAGTGTGTGTACCAATATGGAGATAACTGATTTTGTTCGCCTACTTTACATCAAGTTGTGTAAAGGGACTGAAAACCTATTGACAGGGGTTTCACTTGGTTAACACAGACAGTCCACAAACTCATAATAGTACTAAAATAAGGAAAATAGAAATAAAATTATGGCCTAGCCGTAACCTGGTACACACACTCCGGGAGTACCATATTGATATGAAGACATACATAATACTGTGTGAGGCAATTAAATACCAAAATCTCTTCCAACTCCAAAATTCCAGCGAATCATTCAAAATATTTGAAATGCATGAGATATGCAAAACTTGAAACAGGGATTTGTCGAATTTAAATTCGTGGGATTTTACATAATTTTTTTCCCGCTGAAAACAGGAATACTAAAATTTTGATTTGTCAATTATTGAAAAAACTATACCCAGAATACTATTTCTATTAATTTTAGTTTAAATGAACATACTTATGTACTCTTCCCTCACTGACAGCTTGTAATCTGTCGAGACCACCACCGAATTTAATTTCTTTGCCATCTTTGAGCCAAGTAACCTTCAGATTACGACGAGTCACTGTGCATTCGAATACACATCTTCCCTTGATTGTACATTTCTGGCTGACGAGTTGACTTTCGAAACCGAGAGGTCGTTCTAAGAAGATATGAGATAAATATTGTCCATTTGTTTTATCGAGAATCGTTATATACGATGCCCTTAAAATCTTGGAATTTTTGCAATTTGCATAATTGGGAACTTATAGATAAAATATATAGTCTTAGCCTTCACAGATGTATTAAATGGAGTAAAAATTTAAAACAATTACTGATTAAGGAACAACAAACCTGATTAAGATATATTGAGAACTGACTTCATAACAAAATTGAACTTGGAAAAGGACACCCTGTATTATAACTCTCTTATATTATTTTAATATTTTCAATTTCAATTTTGTTATGAAGTCAGTTCTCAATATATCTTGACCAGGTTTGTTTTTTAAATCAATAATTGTTTAAGTATTTTTACTTCATTTAATACATCTGTGAGGGTCAAAACAATATATGGTATCGATGAATTCCATTTGCAATTTTAAATTTTTTAGGACTTTATGGACAACTTATACAATTGATTAATTAAGTGATTAGGTCATTCAAACACTAATTAGTAAAATTATTATTTGAAGGGGTTCGGGTTCGGACAGTTTACAGAAAAGCAAAATAAATAGTAACAGATGACGCTTGCCGTCACACACAAAAAACAGGTCGTCATCCCAACTGTTAAATCACAACAGGCAAAGATCCAAAATACGGGAATCGAACGGTAAATATTAGTCGTTTTACTGTAAGCTCTAAAGTAGCTCTGTGAATGGACGCAACTTCTAATAGGTAGCCTATCATAAAGTGCAAGAACATACCATAGTGTAGTTGAGGTGCTGTATTAAATCATCTATTCAACCCCTTATATCAGAGGTGTGCAACCTTCAATAGTAGAAGGCCACATAGATTTTAGTGGATGAAAACGCGGGCCGCATCTTCATTTAACACAGGTTTTCTAGTAATTTTGGTTATTTATCTTTTGACATGCGTTGTTGGCTTCGCATAAGCTAGCTGTTAGGTCATTGTACCGTCGTTGGCATAAATAATAAAGGACTCAGGTATATGCTTCGCAACGCAAAGAGATTGGAGTTACAAATACTTGTTTCGCGGGCGCACATTATTCGAAATTGGCACTTCTCTACCGGCCGCGCAAGTTTTCCTTAAAGGCCGCATTTGGCCCGCAGGCTGCACATCCTGTATTTAATGGTTTTTCCAAGTTTTTCGCTAATGTATTTAGGTCATTATCGCTGTTATAACACTCTCCAGTAACTAAACTAGGCATTCACATACATATCTAAATATATATACAGAATATATAAATGACAGTGTTATGGTACCTTTAATAGTAAGATTAGCGTTAAATTTCTCATTTCCAACTTCCAGAGTGTAGGTTCCCGCGTCTTCAGGTCTGACATTTCGAATAATAAGTTGAAACACATTTCCAACTCTTCGCAGTTCATGACGTCTTTCGTCACCTGGAATTTGAACGAATTCGCCATCCTTCAACCATCTGGAGAAACAAATGAAATGGTTTGTGTGCATGTAACCAATGCCACGCCGGACAAATTACGTTCCTTCCCGAATAAGTATATTTTTAATTATCGGTGTCTGTTTGTACAAGAGGCTTATCATGATTTGAAGGTGTGAAAACGAAGATGAAATATAGGCTGTCTTTACCGGGAAAATTGTCGTGAAAATAGCTAATGAAATTCTGTTAAAAATATTCAAAGACTTTGATTATTCAGAACAGATCAGACCAGCGATTATAAAAGATTTCAGTAGCTGGGATATTTCAACTATTGGGAGACTTCGGGAATTAAAGTAAGGGCATTTTGGTACGGACTGTTGTTATCGGTATTAGCCCGAGTATTTTACCGATTATATCGACTTTAGGTATGGAGGTCATGGAACCATATGCGAAACTTCGCATTGCCATACGAAATCAAATGTATATCAGATAGAATAATTTGTTTATTATTACTCATGAATTATTTTGTAAAATTGTCTTTGTTATGGACAAACCTGGTGCCACATCTGTACACTATACACGGCGGTGAAACTTTATAATTTTGAATCGAAGCAATCTTCTGAATAATCACATAATAAATTTTTTGTGCAGGTAACATAGGTTACTGCTATATTACATTAGTCATTGGACGTTCGTGCTGATCTATTTTTGCATTGCTCTCTTTTTTGCATGAGATGGCACACAGTTAGTTTTCGCTATCGCATGAGGTTGTCTGATCACTGAAAATCTAGTTGAATCTGAAGATTGAACTCCAAACTAGTGTGATAACTAGTATACCAGTACTTGCATACTTAGAGCCAGGTTTGTAAGCCGATAATAAATTTGCGGGTTTGTTAGGAATTAGAAAGAGTTTCTGAGCAGACCAAAAAAACCTTAACGATTGTCCCTTTGTAAAGTAGACGGCCTCGTGTCATTGTGAAAGATGATCAAGAGATTTTGATGAATGTGCTATATAACCTTTCAGGCTGAAATAGCTTCCCTATAATAAGGCTACTCTGTAGTGGTATGACATTCTTGGCTTGAATACCCAGAGCATGCAATAAGCCGATACGGCAATTATTAGGTGTTTGCAATGCTTTGGGTTTGAGTTTTTCAGTAAACAGAAATGATCTTCGAGGTTGTGCCTCTGTAAAATAGACGATTTCGTGTTTTCGTGAAAAAGAGATTAAGAGATTATATTCAACTGGCTAAGCTTAACCACTGGTAAGAACTTGCCGCATATGTATAGCGCATAATCTTACCGAAGTTGTCTGTCTGGAGCGACGTTCTCCATGTGGATTTCGAAGACAGCTGTTCCTTCGTCATTTACGGTCACGTGACGCAGCCCTCGCAGTATTTTACAAGCTTCGAATTCAGGGGCGGGGTCTGCTTCACGCTTCACTGCTTTCAACTTGTGGAGAATGTGCCTGTAACGAGAGTTGAGAAAATTGTAATTCTGTATAGCAACCAGCTTATTTACTTTAATGCTCTTTATTGGTCGAAAAGTGTATATAATTTGTTGATAAATTGTTCTCGAGCAAGGAATTTGAGGCAAAATCGCTTTTCCTAAAAAGTAATGGATCACCTCGTGAACCTTTCGTCAGACTAGTCTGACGCCGACGAAGCTCACCGCTCAGCTGCGGCTTTACTAGTACCAATGTAAATTGCTATGGCTGTGGGAAGACATCTGTAATTAATTTTTGAGGCTCTGGGAAGGTCAGGTAAAGGATTCCAGCGTAATCACACTGGTATGCCGTTTGCAATTATACTTTCGTGTCTATATATTTGAGCATTGCTGTTAGCTCGCGCTGTTAGTTAGGCAGGGATACTCAACTATTTTTATCAAAGATCCGTATACAAAAATTCCAAATTACTGGAGTCAGGTATTTGCACAAAATATATATTTCACAGCGCGAGTTGTTGAGTAGCATTGGCCTATGTTACCGTGGTTAATAGTTCGAGCTCCGTGTCTTCAATCTGAGATTTGCTCTCTTGTTGTTAGCAATAAAAGAAATCAATTTGATTTTGTATTTATCTATGATCACCTGAAGTCATAGAAACCATGTTGCATACAAATTCTCTCATAATCTCTCGGTTCTGCTTTCTTCAAAATTTCTAAAACCTCCTTTTCTAATTCTTCTTGAGTCTTCTTTACTTTTGATTTCTTTTCTCTGTGTAAAGGCATGATGTCAACAACCATGAAACACAGGCAAAGATATTATTCTATGCAGTGATTCTCAAACAATTTCGCGTGTTTTTAAAACTTTTCATTTATTCCATTATTTACGTTTCATCCACGTATTTTCAACGTGTTTTTTGAATGAAACAAACTTTCAAGGCGCGGCTTAAAAAGTTTGAGAACCACCGATTGGCATTGAGTACGATATTGAATTCTGGGACTTCCTGAAGTATGCGCACCAAAATAGCGCACAACCTGAACTCAGGTTGTGTACCAGGTTAGGGTTCCGGTTGTGCGACATCTTGGTGCGCATACTTCAGGAGTACCGAATTCTGTGGACTTTTTCAACAACAATATACATTTTCAAGCTTACTCTCCGGATAGTTAGAAAACTCTGCTCCGGAGCGTTATTGTGTATTTCAGGTCAATTTCGGACAAGCCGTTGTCGCAAGGATGGCTGAAGAGGTTAGAATATGATCTAACGAAATCTCACAAATATATGGTATTTCGAGGAAACCGATTATTCTTATTAATTAATTTACATAATTTCATAAAATGGTTTACGTTTTCTTGAGATTGATTTTGAATCCTTCTTCCTTTACTTTACGTGCAACCCTGATATTGAATAACGCTGTTACTTCACCGTAGTCATTCATCGCTACTACCTTGTGCTTGCCGACATCTGTTGGTCTTGCGGCCTAAAATGATCATAAATTGAATTATCGGCAGCGAAAATATCATTCAGTTATTTGCAGTTTATCAGTTGGTAAAAATAATGTCTAAGTAGTGAATAAAATTAGTGTATATATAGGGTGTCCATAAAGTCTTGAAAAAAATTTAAAATTGAAAGGAAATTTATTGATACCATATATTGTTTTGGCCCATATAAGACCTAAACAATTACTGATTAAAAACAACAAAACCTGGTTAAGATATATTGAGAACTTACTTCATAACAGAATTGAAAATGGTAAAGGGACTTTATGGACATCCTGTATGTTTGAAAGATGATAGGATACAAACAATCAAACTATAGTTTTCCTACATACCCAAGATGGATTTAATTTATGTGAAATTCTTGGGATTAAATTCAGCATTTATCAGTATTAGAACAATTTAATTTCCATTTTTCAGAAATTAAAATTAATAGCATTAAGAATTCGATAACATCAAACGGATATATATATGAAAATACAGCGTGGTCGCTAGATTAACAGAAGAATTGCAGGTCGGATGAAATCACAAATAAATGCGTATAGGTATATAGGTTGGATTGGAACGATATCCCACAAAATAACCTTCAAATCGCTACACGAGCTTGGACTTGAACGAGGTTAAGACACTGTTCTAAAGTGCACGGACGACATTGTAAGCATCTATGAGCGTAAGATAAAATAATTATTCTATCAAAAAACTTGGTAGAATTTATTCGTTGTAGAAAGAAATAGCAGCTTGACAAATTTTTTAGAGACCAACCTACAGTTCTATATATGTTCTAATTTCTAACAAGATATCCGACAGTATTAAAATTTTGGAGACTGCTGTGATTCTCTGTTTAGCTCCTGTGGAAGGCTTTTATTAGTACAATTTAGCGTGTTATTGACAATAACCAAAAAGGCCATAAACTTTTCCAATCTCTCAAGATACAGGGTATCCATAAAGTTTCTTTACAATTTCAATTTTGTTATGAAGTCAGTTCTCAATATATCTTAACCAGGTTTGTTGTTTTTAATCAGTAATTGTTCAAGTATTTTTCTTTCGTTTAATATTATCTGTGAGGGCCAAAACAATATATGGTATCGATAAATTCCTATTTCAATTAAAAAAAAATGTTAAGATTTTATGTACACACTATAATTATATCGTTTGTTACCTTGATGGTCATAGTGTATGTCGATGTACTTGGATCTCCTTTGACAATATATCTTCCTCCATCATCTATCGATAACCAGTTGCCTTTCCTCCAGACTACTTTAGGATTGGGATTTCCTTCTATCTTCACGCGAACTTCGATTTTTTCACCTTGAAAATGGAACAGAATAGTTTATCGTGTTTTCATCATGTATAAATGTCGCCATGTGTCAAAACTTGCAAAAAAAATAAATATTATCTATGCTTCCAACCTAGGTTAACCAGGTATACTTGCTTTTTGAAACACGGATTTGATTCTGGGCGCTTCAAAAGTGGATATGGATATATGTAGGTAGCTAATTTTGTTAGCCTACTTCACATCAAGTTGTGTGAAGGGACAGAAGCCCCTGACAGGGGGTATATTCACTTGGCTAACACAGAACGTCCCCGAACTCGTAATATAACAAAAATAAAGAAAATTTGGAATAAAATTACGGCCTAATCCTAACCTGGTACACATACTACGGGATTACCAATTTTGAACATTACATCGAGGAGTTTCTTGAAACCTATGAAAGATACGACTTGGGGACTACTTGGGCGTTCGATCATCTTTTATTGGAGAAAACCTGAATATTGCTAAAACGTCAGTGAAATGATACTTTTGAATACATTGCAATTTTCACAGTAACATCAGCATCACAAAACGATGATTTTTAATCCAATTTTTGAGCATTTTAGTTTAACCCATCATTCGAAATACAAAACTAACGCAATTTTTCAGTGGTATACAGACAGTGACTGGACCAGGATCGCACCTCAGACGGAACAGTTGAATTTGTACACCATGCAGTTTGTTCGCTTATTGAATTCTGCGTACTTATGTTGAGTTGTTGATCCGATCGTCAACTAATTAGATTGGGTACAGCAGGGATCGTAATTTGGCAACTGGCGAATGAGGTCTCGTCAAGTTATTTTCAAATACTGATTTAAATGCAGTTTAACCTTGTGTTCCATGTCCCGAAGTGTTTCATCCTGCTTACACGGGGTTCCAAAAGAGTGTTTCGGGGTCGGGCAGAATCCTGCTGGCTAGGAAAATTGGCTTGGCAAAAAATTAATTGAATCCATCAGGTTTTCATACCTGCCAAGTAGATCTATGCCTGCTCTCACAAAACCGCGCTTTCCATAAAAATGAATCGTTTTATGCTATTTTTTAAAAACTTCGTGGAATTATCATGCGCCCGCCCATTCGTTACCTCGTTGCTAGGGCTGAGCACTTCGAATCGATTCGAATAGTAAATTATTCGAATCGGTTCAGAGCAAAATTTCGAATCGCTGCCATCTTGTTTTTGTTCTTTCCGCCAATGGTCGAGGTGAATTACTCATTTTTTTTATTGAAGCCATATTTTTTTAATGCAATTTTGACATATATATGACTAGTTTCTTTAGTGGTGTTTCTTATTGTGTGTGAACGCACCGCAATCTGTCTGGGTGACGTATTCTATGTTTTCAGTAATTCATTTGTTGACAAGACTAATTACAATAAAAAAAGTCGCATACAATTACATATCTCCCATTGACCCGAGTACTCGAGATTCGATTCGAAAAAAAAATATTCGATTCGTTTCTGAAATCATCAGGTATTCGAAATTCTCCAGCCCTACTCACTGCTTCCCCAACAATTCAATATAGATTTCAACTCGCTGCAAGAATCGCAGTTGAAAGATCAAATTTAATTTCAGAATAAAGCGCACAAAAGGTTATACATAGTTCAAGGCTTCCGACTTTGCGCTTGGCGAACTTGCATAAATATGTCAATAACCGTGATTCGTTGCACCCTAATGACACTTGAAGCTACAAATCAACAGATGTGCACTAAGCTGTCACATCGAGGAGAGCATTATTGTAAATGTCCTCAGGGATCTTTTATACAAAGCCCCCGACACTAATGCAAAAATGTGAGATTTGAGAAAAACATCCCCGCCACGTTTTAATTAAAATAACAACTAGTAATTATCCAGTTAAGTTTAGGCATGTTTGGAAACGTGAATTTCCAACGTAATCTGCATTTCTCGCCCTAACTGGGTAATTACTCATTTTGTTTTGAGCGGTGGCGGTGGCCGTATATTTTTGAAAAATATGAATTTAAAACAAATCTGTTGCTCCGAAGGAATTGTGTTTTTATTTTTAGTGATATTTTAGTTTGCTGCGATTAGTAATTTGTAATTTGTTCACCCTACCTTCCTCGCCTCCGGTGTCAACGGGTTCCAAGGTAAAACTGGGCATACATTCGCCCTCCTCAACCGGCGGCTTAAATTCCTTCTTCAATAGTTTACTCATCCTGGCGATTTCTTTTCACCCACTGGTTAATCCAAATCCGTAACGTAAGGTAATTGGTATTATTTGGATGTGAAAGCCGATTTAGATAACGACTGTGATTAGAAAAATTGTTCTGGTGTTATATAAGGAAAAGACTCGGTGTCGGTATGTTATGTGATCTACGTGCAAATTTTAGAGCAGTGGTTCTCAAACTTTTCAAGCCGCCCTTCCTTATTAGAATTTGTTAAGTCTCGGGCCTCACCTCAAAAGTAACTAGCTTACAGTAAGCTACAAATAACAGTTCGTAAAGTGAAAGTATGTTTATTGGACACGAAGTGGACATAACGATCGTTTCAAAATTTTGTTGTTATTGTTATTTGTCTCCGTCTCCATTTTTAAAAAATCGCTTTTCTCTTCGAATACTGGACCAATTGCTTTGAAATTTTCAGTGGTTAAAGATAAAATTTTTCTCCAGAAGGCTATTACTTTTTTTCTGCTATGACGTCATCAAAATTATTGCCATTGAGCATATATATTTGAGCATAGCTCTCTTATTTTTTATTAGCTTCACGCCCCCCCAAAAATTGTCCACGCCCCACCGTTTATTAAGAACCACTATTCTAGAGTAACTACTGCGGTCTACATCCAGGTGATTCAAAATTCTAAGAGCAGGCTCTCATTTCTATCAACTCACTAACAAAAGGCTTCCTCATTTCAGAAAACCACGGCTAACTTGATTATTACGCCGAGAGCTGTTTCTCGCGAACCCCTTGATTCCCACTACCATACGTGATCTACATGCACATTTCCGGTAAATAACTTGTGATCCAAATGCAGGGGCAATGTATACGCCAATCATCAACAAACTAGAAAGTCACAAAATGTTCATTTTTATCTTTCTACTTGGCCCGATTAGCTTGAAACCAACGAAAACTTGAATTTTAGCGCAATATGCGATAGTCTAGATCTACGCCTAATCTACATTGGGTTTCTGTACATACATAACATACTGCATCGGCATTAAAGATTTTATTTCCTACCAAGGGCGTAGTCAGCCAAAAAATGAAGGGAATGCAGTTTTTGTTGCTACGACGCTTACTCGCGCATTTTGCTCCGAACAAGGCCAGCAGCGACTGATATCTTAAGTTGTCTTACAGAAATTCTCCACAGACTCATTGTGCTGTCGGAATTATCCATCTATACATGCGTGCAATCTCATGTATCTCAGTCGTTTCGTTGGGGTCAATGATTAGGGTTACTAGCGCACGTAGCAAGTCGCACAGCGTCGGGTTACTAGCAAATTTATCAAGAATGGAGGTGAATAGTGTCGAATTAGACGTACGAGTTTGTGTCTCACTGCAAATGTCGCAAAATCGCTTTTCAATGGAACATACTTCGAAAATTTTGGGAAAACGCTGGCTGCACCTGTGATCTCAATTAGGGAATTAAATCTCTGTAGTTGGAAGGACATGTTTCACAACATAATATCATTCACACCGCAAAGGCAGCTAATTGTATCATCGCCAAGGACCAATGGCGTCATTGCAGATTTTTTTTCCGTTGCGGTTTCAGTGGTAGACGAGCGGTAATCCTTATGGCCGCATCCAAGGGAGATATTTGGGCGTGTGCCAACTTATGTAACAGTTTCTAATTGGGTATTTTACTGATGTGTTTTAATGTCTGTTATATTTGAGATAACTGTTTACAGCAGTGGTTCTTAAACAAGGAGCGTGAAGCTATTTAAAAATAAAAATATTCGTTAGATTTAATCTTTGCTGCCTTATTCTGGATATTTACATCCAGATCTGTTACTACTGTTACTATCTGTTTTGTCTACTATCTGTTATTTGTAGCTCATTGTTAGTTGGTTATTTTTGAGGTGGGCGCGAGGCTTATTGTGAAAAGGGGGCGCGGCCTAAAAAGTTCGAGAACTACTGGATTACAGTATATATATATATTAAAAGACTATTTACTTCTTACGAGCCAATAATAAAACGAAATTTGAATAAGCTCTTTCATAATAATCTTGTAAGCTACTCCTGCTAAACTGCATGTCGTCATGTTCTCTCCCGCGAGCGTCGGTGACGTCGTGTTATCCGTCGCCTGCACAGGCGACCGCCATTTCCTTATAAGGCGCCGCAAGAGAGAGATTGACGTTCAATGCAACACGGGAGCAACCGGCGTTTGTCTTGTGGCCTGGTGCGTTATCCTGAATGTGGAGTATCACGTAACGTTACAAAAGACATATTATGATGACATAGTGAACTAAGATACGTAATCAAAATGTTCTCGATATATTTCTTTTCCACAACTGAGTATTAAAACTTATTTTAAATTCTAACAATTTCTCCATATCGATGTGCAATATTCTAAAACAAGAGTCTTTGCTAGAATTACAGTGGATATGCCAAACAAGTATTTTGTATGTAATTCCCGGCATGTCAGTGTTATTTCCACTTTTAAAATAGGGCGCGGGACCGTTGTTTTTCCTATCCTACAGCACTATATAAAATCGGGAAGTAAAAACAGGTAATAAATGGGAAATGAATTATTCTTGTCCAACCTTGTACATAAGACGCAAAATCTTTGGGTAAAAAATTAGAGGTTACTATTTTTATATTGTTCCTCGCTAATTTTCTTTGATTCTGTGCATTTTAGTTTTTGCCCAACCTCCTTGCAAACATATTGGAAAATTAATAGTGAGGCAAATAGCAGCATAGTACAAAAATCGACATTGGTGAATGACATTATTTTCGTGACATAGGATTAAAAATTGTAGTAAATTACTTTGAAATATTCTTAACTGCGCTGAAGCCTTAATTTTTCTACTGAACCCAGCCTTTCTGCTAAATTATATACTCTCTTACATTATTAAATCCGTAAACGATGATGCTTCATCAACTATCTTTCTGTCGACTATCTCATAGACTATCCAATGTTCCATTGGCAGAAGAACAGATAGTTATTCGCGGATCTACAGTCAACATTTAGTAATGTATCACGCATCTCGTATGGGTCTCAAGGGAACAAAACTGACAAAAATAAATATCTGTATGCCGGCAGGAATCGCACGCATCATCTATGCCATATTACTTAATAAATGAAACTCGTAGGCGGGTAGCAATGTCTTAAAAGCGCGATTCAAGCAACTTACTCATATGATCAAAGACTCTCATGTTACAAAAATCAGCTTGGATCTTTTTTACAAAGCCCCCGTCAACAAATGAACACCACGGCCAACGCTCAAAAAAAGAAAATTTATCCAGTTAGGATCATGGTTAGAAATGCATATTGCGCCGGAAATCCAAATTTTCAAATCATTTCTAATCCCAACTGGATAATTACTAATTTTCTATTTTAAAACGTGGCTTGTTTTACTCAAATCTCGCCTTTTTGCATCAGTGGCAGGGGTACAAAAGATGTATCTGTGATCCACCAGGTTTTCATTATTGACTTACGAGTATTAGTATTTCATGTTTTCTGGTACCATGACGTTTTATTACAGCCCTGAGTTTTTTTAAGTGTTTTTAAAATAAAGTTACTCTTCAATCTACTGGCGCGATTAGCGTATACGACTCAATTTTCATGACAGTGTCTTCGTTACAAGAAAAAAAATCGTATTTCAATATAGTTATAAAATACAGTTTTTAAAAACGACAAAACAACAAAAGAAATTTTTTTGAAACAAAAAATGCATCCTCACAACGGCAAATGAAAATTATAAATCTTTTTTATATTTACATCAGAATATAATCAGCAAGTTTTTTTGAATCACAATATAACCCGTAAAATACAGCACATATAAAGTAAATACCTTAAACAGAAGACCACTGTTTTCAGTAGTTTTAGCGGCGCTCCAGAAGTGTGTGTACCATTATGGAGGTAACTAATTGTGTTCGCCTACTTTACATCAAGTTGTGTAAAGGTACTGAAACCTATATGGACAGGGGTATATTCAATTGGCTAACAGTCAGACAGTCCCCGAACAGACAGTCCCCGAACTCGTAATAGAACTAAAATAAGGAAATTCGGAATAAAATTATGGCCAACACTACGGAAGTACCGTTTTGGCTTCGAAAACTAGTTACAAATATTCGATTCAGACTCATCGAAAACAGACATCGAAGATCATAGGTAAATAGACTTGTACTTTCAGCTAAAATTTTTACTTGTACATTCGATATCACAACAAACAAAAAAATTAACATTTTTAAATAGAATTCGAATATTTGATGAAAAAATGGTATTCGGTTTGACTCTAAACCCAAAGATACTCGATATTGGCCCGAACTATTCTTAGAGTGTGACCTCATATTGTCCACCGTGTCTTCGTCAATTAAGTGATCCAGTTGATGACAGATTCGGGTTGAACGTCGAACCGACTCTTACAAACGGCTGATTTACAATATCTGTGATTCGCCGCTCGCCGCCGTCGGACATCAACTGGTTTTCAGTACTCCTCGTTGTTTGGTTTTGATCAATTTCTATTGGTTCATTCTGGATGGCACTGATGACTTCTTTTTCGCGACTAAAGTTCGGTTCATTTTCGTAGCCAGTGATTGGTTGATTTTGGTCAGCGTTGATGACTTCTTTTTCATGACTTGTGATTGGTTCATTCACATGACCACTGCTTGGTTGGTTTTGGTTAGCGTTGATGATTTCTTCTTCATGGCTTGTGATTGGTTCATTTTCGCGGCCACTGATTGGTTGATTTTCAGGACTTGAAGTTTCGTTCTCATTGTCGTTATTACGATCGCTAATATCGGCTAAATATCTTCCCTTGAGACTGGGTCAAAAAATAATAATGTAAATGAATAAAATGTCTAAAATGAAATGGACGTCTTGTTCAACAATATAGAATAGGTGTAAAATAAAGAAATCTTGGAAATGGTTAATATGCTTGGTAAGATAAAAAAGAAAACAAGAAGTAAATTTGCTGAATGGTAGCTACATTACTTGGCGGCCTCAGCTGAGCTCCGAGTTTGCTGAAATCATTGGCGTATAAATGTTACGAAACTAAGTGTACTCATACATCATAAAAAAAGTGTTTCTGTGAGTTTTGGATAAAATATTGTATAAAACTCAAAGGAAAATTAAAATAATATAAACGTGACAGCTGTATAGCGACTTTTTTTTATCTTTACTTATGAGTCGATTTTAAATTTGTTGCCGAAAAAGAGCTATTTTTCCTAAAAACAGCAACAATAATTTAAACTGATCAAGAAGTCCATTTTGTGTCCAATAAATCTACAATTTTTAAACTTCGCCAATGACCGTTGTACAGTGATAGCAACGTGTGACCTTGTTTGTCAACAAAATATTTTATTACTGTCCGCTTCCCATGGGAAATCAAGTATACCGGTTGTTTATTACAATTCAATATGGTTCATAAGATCAATCTATGACGTAATAAACTCAGATAAACTTTGAGTATGACGTCATATTATATTAATTGAGCATGTTTTTTGAATTATGACACCAACGTACTCGTATAGTGACGTCATGGTAACCACAGTGACGCGTGCGTAAAGAACTTGGATTAGTGAGAACATATGAAACGATCTTTTATAGTTGACAAATACGTAATTATAGTTTTAAAATGGAATACGTAGTGGAATCGGAACTTTCAGTATCTTTAATTGGATAAATTATTAAGGAGCAAAAAAAAACACGATTTTGAGAGTTAATCACAATGCGTGGACCACTCATGTCCCTGTGAGGAAAATTAATAGACACATGACATGCAAGGTTCGGTGTCTCATTGCTCACTTTTGCCAGAATGTTCGGTAATCCCATCGTATGTGTACCAGGTTAGAGTTAGGCCATAACTTTTTTCCGACTTTCCTTATTTTAGTTCTATTACGAGTTCGGGGAATGTCCACGTTAGCCAAGTGAATAAACACCTGGCCATAGGTTTTAGTCCCTTCACACAACTTGATGTAAAGTAGGCAAACAAAATTAGTTACCTCCATATGGGTACACATACTTCTGGATCGCCGAATGTACAAGGCGACCATATATGCACCATTATTCCTAACTATTCAACAAACAAACTTTTGTTGATATTTACCTTTGTAAAAACTTCTTTAGTGCCTCGCCTTCTAAGACTGAACTACGGGATGCTTGCAGCAGCCTGGTTGCAAGTCTGGCAAAACAAAATCCAATCCATGCGAAATGTCGAATATACTTAGATAAAAGACTATTATTTACTGTAATATACTTATTGTAGATTCAAATATACTCTAGATCAGTGGTTGTCAAAATTATTAAGCCGCGCCCCTTTTTTAGAAAGAATTTGTCAAGTCTCGCGCCCCACCTCAAAAATAACTAGCTAACAATATGCTACAAATAACAGATAGTAAAGGGAAAATATGTTTTATTCAAAAAACCGCGTTGAAAATATGTGCTTCACGCCCCCTTAAAAAATTGTCTACGCCCCCTTGTGGGGCACACCCCACCGTTTGAAAACCGCTGTTCAACATTTTATAGTTACATAGTTCATGCAAAATATTCCCACCTATAGATTGCTTTTTCTTTCTTTTGCTGTTGAGCAACAACCAAGTCTGTTTCTTCATTACTTTCTTGAATTGATTTGGCAACATCTCGTGCACGAGTGATCAAAGATGGCGGGAAATTGAATAACTCAGCAAGCTGGAGACCTTGAATCAACAAAATCATAAATTTAAATGCTTTTTAAATTTTTAGTCACGTCTAAGTCACTAACACTGGTCTCACATTTTTGATAGCGATAAAGCTGGAGGTCTTGGTATATGAATTCAAAATTTAATTTCAATTCTTTAGGGATTTCATCCAAGTACATTCGACTTTTATAAATAGCATAGCTCATATATGGCCAATGATTATCACAATGTTTGTCGCAAAACTGATTTTACTTTCCCCTTTACAAGAAAACTCTCCGGTCTTCCTAGTTTTATTTCTTGACAAGGTTATTTCACAGGGTGTTTCCCCTTTATTGGGCATGAATTGTTTGAACCCAATCGGATTCGGAATCTACCAATAAAAATAACACTATAAATACCACTGCAATGACAAACAGGGAGCCATGAGTGATAAAATCCTCTGGAAAGGGGTCACGGCAATAAAAGGTTGGGAACCATTGTTATAAAATGTTGACGTGGCAGTGGTACGCTGGAGATTTCTGAAACCTGGCTACACATTTGGTTCCATCAAAACCTCTGCTGAGTTGAGAATATAGACCAGGGTGGTCCAAACCCAGGCCCGCGGGCTACATGTGGCCCGACGCTGCATTACCTGTAACTAGGGCTGGGCATTTTCGAATACCTTGTGATTTCAGAATCGAATAATTTTTTTCGAATCGAATCGAATCTCGACTACTTGAAAACATATAATTGTAAGCGACTTGATTATAGTAATTGGTCCTCTCAACAAATGAATTACTGAAGACATAGAATAAATCACCCAGATAAATTACTGAGCGTTCACACAGAATAACAAACACGTTTTATCAATAACTCACTACAGGAAATAGTCATATGTTAGAATTTCGTTGAAAAAATATGACTCCAATGAGAAAAAAATTGGGGAATTCACCTCGACCATTAGCGGAAAGATAAAAAAAAGATGGCGGTGATTCGAAATTTATTTCTGAACCGATTCGAATAATTTACTATTCGATTCGAATATTCGATTCGAAATGCCCAGCCCTACCTGTAACCCGCGTCACATTCGGAGAGTAATCAATAAATCGCATTTCGCATGTTTAGTAATAAAATTAATCAGAAAAATCTTTTGACATATTCTTACATCACTAATGTCACTAAATTGACGAGTGTTATGGCTAGCCGAGGCAAATAGCGAAGTTGAATGATATGCTTGGCAGTCCAAATTATTATCTGGCTTCCTTTTTTTGGTCGGGTATCTATGCTAACAATACATGCATTATAGAAAACTAAAAATCGAATGCGGATACTATTAGCCTGGGATGGCTATGTCTGATACCTATTTGTTTGCACAATTAAAGTGTTTGTTTTGTATTGTACAGTTTACCTATTCTAGGCACTATTGTGGCCAGCGAACAATGAAAAAATAAATTTGTGGCTCGCGGAGCTAACAACCTTGGACCACCCTGATATAGACCAAATAGTGTGAAATTGGGAAAAGCCCTATAAAGAATTCGACAACATTAAAGTTAGTATTATCTGCATTAGTTTGCATCTGCATAAAATCTTACCGTAATGTTTCTCTCTTGTATGCCCCCGAGATAAAACATAAGTATATATTACTTTATGAAGACTTCCATGAACTGTGGTCACGTGATCAATCTGAAATATAAAAAAGTAAATTAGAAACAGGGCATTCCAAACAGTGTGTCACATTTATAACTATGTAAAAATGACTTTTTTGTAGTAGACATTTAATTTTGCAGCCATAAAAGCACAACACGCCGTTTAGTATGTGAGAATATTCTTGGGTCGCGAGATTTTACAAAATTTATTTTTCAAAAATTTGGGTCGCTTGAAAGAAAGGTTGCAAACAAATGAACTACTAGAGTTAGACCATTGGGATGACATAATACATTTACATTAACCAATCCTCAACGCAGTTGGACCTCCTGAAGTATGCGCAGCAAGATGGCGAACAACCTTAACTCAGGTTGTGTACCAGGTTAGGGTTCAGGTTATGCGACATCTTGGTGCGCATACTTCAGGAGTACCACATTTACATTAACCAATCTTTTTGAATAAGCCAACAACACACATTATCTAGCCAGGCTGTAGGTAGAGCTTAAATGATTCCAATACAGAATAAATTCTAATATGTTTTCTCTCTGTTACCTTGAAATGAAAATTTTCAACGTTTGGATAAATTTTTTCCAGCCGACACAATTCCAAGAAATGGGTCGCAAACAGAGTGAACGCCTGGAAAAGAATTGAAACCAAAAAAATTTACAAAAAAGAATCATTTTCTAACTGTTGCATGCGCCAATAAAAATCTCAGAAAATGATTTTTACAGTTTTACTGGGGAAGGGAAGTCGTGGGGACCAAAACTGGTTATAGAGCACCCAAGGTTCGAACGACTAATATAATTCAACAAATTGGGAAAAGTTTTAAAATCACTGTTATTGATATGAACCATATGCACCATATGAATTTTGCAAATTAGCTCACTTACATCGATTATTAGAGATCAATATTAGAGATCCTCAAGTATTGAGTGAGGAAATCGTAACAAGAATTAACGTGATGAGAATAACATTTATAAAAATGAATAGAATTTATGGACAAAAAGTCTTGACGTTAACCAGAAAAATTGGTTTCAAAAAACGACTATTTTTTAGCGTTTTCTATACTTTACTTTAGCCAGCCTACTCTAAAAAATAAAGATCAGCATAGGCATACTTCATTTTAAATAAAAGCAATACAACTTACAAATATACAATGTAATATGGCAGTCTGGTTGTTTTCAACAAAAAAGGCCATTAAAATATTGATCGATATCTTCATTTCTACCTCTAACCTATCTTACCTTTTGACTTAATAAAAACTCAGAAATCGCCCAACATAGTCCAACACCTTCCTCACTCGACGTTCCTCGACCTAATTCATCAATGATAACAAGACTATTGCCCGTCACATTCTGGATTATATAGTTGATCTGAAATTGTAAGATAGTAATATATAAAAGCATCACAGTGTTCAAACCACATGTCACCAGAATGTAACACATTGAGTATGTTATGCCGACCACAAATATCCCGGTCATCGCATTAAATTGTAGTTCTCTGTGGTATATGGGTGTTTCCACGAGCATCGACTTCCTTATATGTTTCCGTAACATTGTCAAATCAGCAAAAGTGAAGAATTAGTATTTGAATATGCCGAGTCGACTATACTAAATACAGGAATATGCTAAAACAAATAATAAAATGCTATCACACTATTGCATAATAGAAGGTCGGAATATTTAAGGATATTTACCAGAATCAGACATCGTAAGTAAATAAAATAATTTTCATAGATCGTGCGATCGTTCTCAGATTAGTTACCTAACATACCTGTGCGACACAAATAAGGTTGCAAGACATAACCACAGTATTGCCAACGATATTTCTTCCATGATAAGCTCACTACATATCAGTGACTGCCTGCACAAAGCCTTGTTCTCAATAGAAAGTGTGAGAAAACGTATAAAAACAAACCTCTTTCATTTCTACCATAAAAGTAGATGAATTCGTTTCAATATCATCGTCGCTACCAACTCTTGAAAATATTTGATCTGACAATCTGAATGATGCGTATTCCGCTGGCACGAAGGATCCGATCTGAGCCATAATCTAGGTATAGAGAAGAGAAGAAGGCAAGAACTTCAAATCAAAAATGTAAATCAAGTCCCACCGTCGTAGAATTTTGCATCGGTACTAATAAGATGGTGGTACGCGACAATTATAAAACGGGGTGCGCGAATCGGTTGGTAATTTTGAAGAGAAGAGGAAAAAAAACAGGAAACACTGACGTAATGGTTGACGATCTACTAATCTAAACAATTCGGGAAACGACAATACAAATGATCTCAGGTAAACATCGAGTCGAATTCCCAAACTGAAATTTCGAATTCTCTCACAAAATTTGATCTCACGAACTATCACGGCTCACATTTGTTAAAACGTGATATCAACCGCTTGACTCTAAAAGCCAGTTTATCTGTCTATGCCCAAGATATTTTTTTTTGAAGATTGAACTTGAATTCAGAATTAACAGACCCAACATTACATGCACAACATTTCACACGTTCAAGTTTTACATTCCCGTCTCGGTCTAACCTTTCATTGTGAGCAAATTACCTAAGTGGGCATGATGACCTATTGTTTGGAAGTGGTATCACATTCACAGGTAATACATTTCTTGTTCAATTCATTACCAAGAGTAATCACATTACGTCACACCAAGCACCCCCGACCCTCATGTACTTATAGTGGCTGTTCGTTCGTTCAAAGTTTGTAGCGAATGTGCCAACCATCTCACCTGTAAAAGTGCAACTTGCTTCAAATAAGTAGATTTCCCACTCATGTTAGGCCCAGTTATAATATTGAAGTTAGTTTCATCAGAAGCATAGATATTGTTTGGGATTGGTTTCTCTCGTTTCATGATTTTCTCCAACACTGGATGTCGCCCTTGCTTCACTGCCAGAGTGTCCGTGAACTCGGGTCGCACTGGAATATGGAAGAAATTGTTTTTGCCGGTCTATGAATTTCGACTCCGACTCGTTTAAAAACAGTTATCCGATGCTGACGGCGAGAGCAAGCCTACTTCAACAGAATATAACGAATGCTTAATGAACTTGATGATTTTCAGGTTTTAGTAGGAAGTTTAAACTTATTTTACCACCATTAAAAAACTGAAAGTCCCACTCGCAACTCCGGATTATTTTAGAATACGACTCCGAAAACCAACCCAAGCAGCGTCACCGCCGAGTCGAGTCCGTGTCATAGTACCGTGTTTCCCCGAAAATAAGGCCTAGCCTGAATTTTAAAAATAATTTTAATATATGCCGTTTCCTTAAAATAAAACCTAGTCATATTTTGTATATTTAAAATTCTCTACTTTGTAATTTTGTTTCGATAAATGGAAATAAAAGACATCCCCCAACAATAAGCCCTCGTGTTATTTTTAGAAAGAAAATTGAAATAAGTCTTATTTTCGGGGAAACAAAAACAACAGTTAAGTAAATAAATATGTGCCACTATGACGCAGTGAAACTTTCATTGTGATGAAATATATTCAAATAGAACAATTCAAAACTAAAAATACCCGTAAACGATAAATAACAACAGCGCTACTCACCGTATTCTGTAGTAGAGGCAATATGTGCAAACGACACCAACATATCCAACGTAGAAATTGTCTCAGATAAATTGTAAAGACAACCTATGGAATCACGAATCTCGGTTAACATGTCAGATACGACCCTGAAAAGAGAATTTTGGGGATATTCATTTTTTATTCTACATTTGTGATTGTCAATAAATAATAACACTGGTAATTCAAGAAAGTTAATATGCAATAAATAGTTATATGTACCAGGTTGGAGTTAGGCCGTAATTTTATTCCGATTTCTTTTTATTTTAGTTCTATTACGAGTTCGGGGACTGTCTGTGTTAGCCAAGTGAATGTATACCCTGCCCTTAGGTTTCAGTCCGTTTATACAGCTTGATGTAAAGTATCCGAACAAAATTAGTTACTTCACTATTGGTACAAACACTTTTGGAGCGCCAGAAAAAGTACATATCAGTCCGAAAAAAGCGACATCTTACTCATTCGCCATCGCGTAAATACTTTTGACAGCTTGATTTACTCTTTCGTTCATACATATCATGTCGCTTGTTGTACAACTCAAAGTTTTCTTGCTTTTAGAAACCTAATAAAAAAGAAAAGAGAAGTTATATATAACAGTGCTGAACTTGATGGACGGCTTCTCTTCTTTTAAGTAAGTTTTCATTCCACGTTGAGATTGGCATATATTGAAAAGAGGTGTAAACAATTTGTAGGCCGTAAATCTTCAAGTTAATTGTCAACATATTCAGGAATGAGCGCTACAATGTTATTCTGGACTATATCCATAATAAGAATAAACATCCAAAATGTAAGAAGAAGAATAATATATTTTCAAATATACAGGGTGGTAGCTGGAAAAACAGCTATTCATTTTTACAAAGAATAACTTATGGCGTATGTTATATCACACAAATACTACAGAAATCAAATAGAACCTAAAATGTATCAATCTAAAACAACCTAGAACCTAGAAGAAATAAAAACGTATCAAAGAAGAAAAGAGTAAGCACGCATTTTATTCGTGCTCTCGCCTGATCTTTCAATTTTCTGCTTCTTTAGCGACCACCCTGTTTTTCAAAAATACGTTCATGTATGAAGTAATAAAAACTTACAAAAATGAGCAAACTGTGTAATATTAATACTTAAAAGAAATGACGATAGCAGTAGCACACTAAAAAAACAAATACATATTTGTGGCATCTAATAAGGAGAATTTTGTCAGGAGAAATTATGTTTTCTTTTATTCAGATTGGTGTTTGGCAAAGGAAATATAACAGAATGAACATATAGCCGTGTGCCAGCTGTTCTAATAAAATTTATTAAACAATATATAACAAAATTTTCATACTTTTATGAACGAAGAAGGTAACTCGGGACATCCACCGCGATCTGACAACGTCATTTGTATGAAGAAACCACGTGACGCGTTATAAGCGCATTTGATTGGTAGATTATGTTTTTCAGCAAGTTGTGTGATCGCTTCTGTTATGAACAAATGCAATTTAAAATCTTACTTCGCAGCCTATTTGAGAACCAAAGACTGCAGTATGAAAGAAAATACACAGTAATTCAAGTATCGAGACAAGTACTCCAACCAGAAGTGTATGTTTTGCTTTGCTATTGACTTCAGGCAAATGTTTTTTTAACCCGGCCAAGTAATTTTGGGTATTATTACGTCTTAGTCAGAATGAAACAGGTATCATTTAAGACTTAAGTTGCAGTCCTGTCAATTTCAAGTTTGCTAATCAGAAGCCATCGAAAACGCTAATAAAATAAGAATTATTTGACTTGAGCCAAGTCGCTCTAGAATCTAGATAACCCTTTTAGCAAAACTTAAAAGAGTTATTTGGAATTTTCCATAGTGACTCAATTCAAAGTCAGTTCGTGCCTTTCAAAAATCTGACTTGGGAATCCTATCCTGACAAGTTTCAGCTCAGCACAAATCGTAATTAATATTAAAACATATCAATTTTTACCCAAATAAAAAAAAACATTTTGGAATGTTTGGGTAACCAATGGTCGGCCCAATGGATTCATCTGATATGATCATTTAGCATGACCTAATCTGGTATCCAAACATGGTATCACGGATACTGTAGGGTGGTGCGTATGCACGCACCAAGGGAAAAATAAGCCACGCAAAATAAGGGAAATTGGAATAAAATTATGGTCTAACCCTAATCTGGTACACATAATACGTTTCGGTGTTCGCCATCTTGGTTTACATACCACGGGAGCGCCGTGCTAAGCACACGAAACCTAAAAGTCACCTTTAGACAAGATCGGACACGAGTCAAAGTTCACTATATTACAGCTACCATATGACTACTCTATTTCATCAACTTCACTCTCCCTACATAAACACTAAAACCTATATCAAACCATTAATGTCTTCAATAAGTTCAGAGAACGTTCGTCTGGCAGCATCGAGTAATCCGTTGATTCCTTCCTTCACTGCAAAACATTTCTGAGTTTTCATGTTCAAATTTCCTTTCTGATATTGAGCTCCTTCTCTTATAACACTCAGTATTTTGTCTAATATTGTTCCTGGTGTGCAAGGGGTTAATTTTTAATTAGAATAAAAAGTAAAACAATAAATTAATGAAGCAAGGCTTAAATATACAGGCGCAAATCGACACTTAAGACACCGAGTTTGCTTAAACATTGGGTGTAGTGGTTGCAAAAACGCAAGAATTTTTTCACAGTAAAACCTGCAACCACCAACAAAACGATTAGCAAATCGATTCACGGTCCACTATGGCAATCATTATAAATAGTATATATATTCGGTTATTTAATACCATTCCCAATTAGACGTTTGTCATTCATTGAGCGGTATTATCGATGGTATCTGTATATCTCACCGAATCTAGTATCCTTCATTGTTGCATGATAAGCTTGAAAAAGTTCAGAACGAGCGTTTGTAAGTGTTTCCTGCGAAAAATACGAAGATATAAATTTCCATAATGAAGATTTGGGGCTTACGTAGTATGTGCACCAAGATGGTGCACAGCCTCAACATAGTATGTGTACCAAGCGAGGGTTCAGGTTGTGCGCCATCTTGGTGCACATACTACAAAAGCGCCGAAGATTTTTATATCTTTGAACGCTTCAAACCTGACTTCCATATTCATTCATTGAAAGCACACTGGGTGCTCAGAAAGTGATGGTCAAGTGGTCAAAGAATTGGACCTAACTGCCTAACTACGTTAGATTTGAAGGTAGACGATTTTGGAATAAAATGTCCAGGGTTAAATCAGTATACCTAACTAAGTTGGTATCGTAGTTAACCTTCGTTACAAACACTATGCCCACCAACTCGCCCAGGATGTAAAGATTATGTATAAATTGCCATGGGTGTTTGTACAGAGCCTTGATTGGAATGAAGGCTCGGTATTTAATAAAATAGTATTTGGTACATCCATGCTTTTAGTCGCAAGATTTGTTTGTTCAAAGCTAGTACAGGTATTTATGTATTCTAGGGCTTTTCAGGGCTTAACACGGTGGTCCTCGACATTCCTTCTCTCACTTACCTCTTAACATATTCAAAATTCAAGTGAAATTTAGTGTGTTTTATGAGTTATCGGGGGAAAAGGACTTCAAACGAAAGTCAGAATTGTGGAAATGAGGTTTCATAGAACAATACAACTGATTGCGTTGAGTTTACATAACTGCAGTTGAAGCACGTATCAATGATCTCACCCCCAAGGCATCTCCCTGACTCAACATATCGCACGGGCATCAAGAAAAATAACTCAGTACTGACCTCTAGCGCTGGAACAAGTTGTAATATATGTTTCAGAAGAATACAACTTGTAATCTTATTTTCTGCTGTTCGTTCTGTTTCTTGTTTTGGTATTTGAACTAGAGACGAGAGCAAATGATCCAAATCAACATCGAAGCGATCAAGACATGCTTTTAACCTGTAGAGTAGTAGTTCCCAAAGTTGATTAGCCGGGGGCCAAATCAAAAGCAGAAGAATACTTGCGGGCCAGCAGAGGAGTGCGCCCACAAGCAACGTTTCCTATAAGCTGCGCGGCCGCACAGCTGGCCGAGATGCCTCGTGCAGTACTTTTGTTCTGCCGCGCACTGCATGAGTATCAAAATGTTGTGTTATTTTGTATTTTTTCTAATCTTTCGCCCAGACATTTTTTTGGAGCTCACATGGCCTTCTATTTCGCGCAACTAAGCAAGCTCTTAGAGGGAAGGGTTGCCCACAAGTGGCCGATACCGGTACAGGTACGTATAATTAAGATACCGATATAATTGAATTGTTACGAATATACGTGTGCTTAAACTGTGATAATGGCGTAACAATTGGCGGTATCTAGATTGCAAAAAGAAAAAAATATATATAAATTGTGAAACTATTTCACCTAATTTCGGCGGGCCATACTCATCGTTACGCGGGCCACTGCTGTAGAAGATTAGGTGAGTCTTCTTCAAAACCACGATTATAATTCTAAGTCTAAGTAGCAATACTGATAGGGGATGAGAAGCCGTCTCATATTTACCCCGCGGAGGGAATAGCCGATAAGACGGCTTAATCATATGACGAACCACGGCCTCTCGTCCGGTTGGTTACTAGTCGGGTGTCGGGTATGCAATTAGGTAATTTGTTTCAGTTGCATGAACTTGATGGTGATGAAAGTCGTAACCGACCAGCGGTTACGTGTACCATTCCATGACAACAATTTTCTGCACATGATTCGAACTTGCAAAACAGGGTATAGTAAATATTATCGTCAGACGATGGTCACTGAGTCCGTTTGCGCAATATCCCTTGGGAACTATGAATATGTGTGACAGCACGAATAGAGAACATAGCCTACTTCAAACCCATAATTGGCAAAGTTGGGTCTACTATCGACCACAATTACTGTTATATTACAGGTATTTCACACTTTTCATAACTACCCATAGAATAGATCTTTCTCATCTGTAAGTTCTTGAACACAGTCATGCCTTGATGTGATTGTTTCAAGGTCATTAGGAGGTTGAAGAATATTACTTCTTAGCATTCTAGCGCCTCCAGCGGTTCTAGTATGATTCAAAACTCCGAACAGAGTCTCTTCGCTCCTGCAACATAGAGATGATAGAAGAATTATAGAATCGGTTTTCAAACTTTCATGCTTCTTGACCCCCGTGTCATATTAATTTCAAAGACGACTGTGCTCCTCTAAAAAAATACCTCGTTTCTCGTTTAATATTAAAACAGTTAATAAATGAAAACGAAACATTAAATGTATTATAATCAAATAATAACTAATTGCAGTAAATTTTATTATCTTGTTTACTCCTAGTGGGTGAAAGTAGAATTTACTCCCAATTTTTGTTTTTCAAATGCCTATAATCCGAATGGTAAAAAGGGGGCTCTAAAAAACAATTGACGTAGGATTGAAGATGTTGATGCCCAGAAACTTGAGTTGAGTTTACACAACTACAAATAAAGCACGTAACAATGCTACCTTTTATTAATTACCAACAAACGGGTAGTCTGTCCGTAGTGAGACTATCTATGTGACATATGGGAACACTTTCAAGTAGCATTTGATTTTCGTGTCAATATATTAGAGCAGATACGATTAGGGCCAGATACAAATGACTTGGTGAAACTGCTGGTCGCACCTTTATTCCACAATAGTTTTCTAGTAGTTGCAACAACAAGTTTGGGTATTGATCTTATGATATGCGTTGTTTGCTTCGCGTAAGTCTGATTATGGGACGTAAGCCAGGGGTCGGCAACCTTTTGTTGCTTGCGGGCCAAAATTAGGGTTGCAAGTCATTGGCGGGCCGCACATATTTTTAAAAAGTTGAAAAACCAAACGGATCATACTTTTTATAATAAAAATCAAGCAGTGAAACATTTCTCAAATAGAATATAGATTTATTTCCTCATTGCATCTCATAAAATTCCATTTAAATATTTTCAGCGCCATTGAACCCTTTGCACTTAGCATCAACTTTTCTGCGTTTTGTTGCCATTTACTCAATTGTAATAAATTATATGCTCATTGAACGAGTAATTGTGAAATATATAATTGTTAGGTTATAATATAATTTAGTCTTAAGAATATATTTGTCAAAACGGATGTTTTGATACTATGATTTAGTGAAGCGTCGCGGGCCGGATTATAGTGCTCCGCGGGCCGGCGCGCGGGTCGTAGGTTACCGACCCCTGACGTAGGCATATGCTCTGCAACGCAAAGGAATTGAAATTACTTGCATGTACCAGATTATCCTAAATTAAAAACTCGTTTCGCGGCCGCACACTATTTAAAATTGGCACTTCTCCGTGGGCCGCACAATTTTTTCTTGTGAGCCGCAGGTCGCTATAAATAATGTTAAAAATAAACGTAAACTTACTTTGGATTTTTCAAGTTAATCACAAGTTCCAACGCAGAAGCAGTGCTTGCATCTACAAGTGTTGTCTGCTCGCTTCCCTTGAAGACGATACTCAACGAGAAATTTGCAAATAATGTGTTTTGTATAAATTCAACATACTTCACCAAAGCTGCTGTGGCCGCTAGACAGTAGTACCTATAATTAAAATTTGCTAATATAACGCCAGTTCAACCATTCCTTAAAACTGTGTAGTCAAGAAACTATAGTGTTGAAAAAATTCAAATATATGAGATTTTTTAAACGAATATTTTCACCAACTTTTATAATTTTTATTTTAACTTACGAATGTCAAATCAGTGTTACCACGAAACAGCATGAAGCAAAATAATCATAGGGGGAATATCGCGTCACGTAGTACCTGAAGAAAATAAGAACAATAGCCTTTCTAGCGACTTCTTCAGTCTCCAAGTGCTTAAAATTCAAATTCGACTGGCCCAGATTATTACCACAAAGAACACCAACAATAATGCATTCCTACAAGACTATCAACAAGAATTAGGCAAAAGTAACTATAATTTGTGTTCAATAAGATGTGTTTAAGTCGGGAAAACTCACTTTCCATTTACGTCCATTTCCACAGAATTACGTTCTTTAACACACAATTGTTTTATATAATCGAGACCTTTTCCTTCATTGAAATAATGTCGTTGAACTGTGGTAATGTTGCAATTCTAAATTAAAAAAATGAAATATATACATACGTAAAAATCGATAAAGACACAACGGTCGAAACTACCAAAAACAAGGTTGCATATTAGTGATTTCCTGGCTATAGCCTTGTGTGGACCAGGGTTTGAAAAAATGTCCCATATGTCAAAGATATCCTTCGGAGTAGCAAGTATTCATTTTCATAAAATCTATACGGGTAAAATTCAGAGCTTTTGCGAGTCGGAATATTTTCAAATTGAAGCGGCATATGAAGATGTGTTTCAGTCAAGATTTTTGTCAACCTGAAGACACGATTAGGAGTTTTTAAATGCTCGAAATTCAAAGACTGATCAAATTTTTTCCACAGCTCCCGTTGATGTGAAAATTATTCGCTGACAAAAATTCTACATACACGATTTATGTATTTTGTTAATACCTAAGAAATGCTAATATCTGCCGAGACGAAGTGGGCGTGTTGACCTTATTACCAGGTTCACGATTTTAAATTCAAACTCAATGATCCTCACAGGCACCCGAAAGTGAGTGGCTTATAAAAAAAATAATGCAAACCTGAAAATTGTCCGAAACAACTCTGAATATTTTGACTTTATTTCCAGCATCGCACATTGTGCTTGGAAAAATAACTTCGATCGGAGAGAGTAGGTGAAGTCGAGTTATAGTTTTCACGTAAGTTTGAGAATCAGAAAATTGAGATAGTTGCAAAACTGGATGGCGTAAATCAATGGAAGCCATTCCAATCTCTCCTCTGTGAAAATATTTTGAGTGTCATTTTAGCGAAATTTGAAAAGCAAGCATTTTAGAAACAAAATTAAAAATTTCAGTAATTCGAGTCTGAATTGGAGTTGAATGTTCTCATTGGAGTCGGATCCGGAAATTACCACACGAAGACAATTTTCTTCCTCACGCGGTGTCGGTATTAGATTATAAATTTCTCCGACTCCCGCATCCATGGTTATTATCGGTACAACATTCACAATCTCTTCTTCATATAAATATACATACATATTTAGGCAAAATAATTCGCTTGAAGCAAGGTCAGAAGTTCAGAAGTAATATCGAGTCATATCTGAGCAAATTTAAGGGCTTACACTGAGAATAACTGGTCCCGTTTTGGACACAGAATTCATCAAAAGAAACGATACTAAAATTTTCGATAACTTGAAATGATAAACAAACGGGTTTCTAAAGTTCTTTCTGGAGTTATATAAAAATATACAAAATCACGATACTTTGCCAATCCTCTTCCTTCCACTATCGCTACGATATTTGATGACTCGGTGATACGTGGTGTGTCTGTTACATCTGATCTGGCACTACGTGGCGTTCGTCTGCTGTGTCCTGGTGTTATTGGCGTACTTGAGCTGTTGCCAATACCACAATTAGTTATGAATTAATTTAAAGTTAGGAAAAATCTATTCGTTGGCTTGGGTAAGCTACTGTACGCTTCAAGGTAGAAACTCAGTTGTCAGAGTAAAGTTTCTTATGAAGAAAATATATATATATAAAAAAAAGATTTCAATAAAGACTATGAAATGATAAAATAATGGGTAACAGATTTGCAAGGTGTAAGCCATTGGGTTTTTCAGATCTTTGAGTTTGGATTAAAATTCAATCCATCGCACCCGTGGAACAGCTTGTTGTAAGTTGTCAATTCGACTCAATTGTTATGAAAGAAGTTTATTTGTACAGAGATTTATATACGGTATAACAAATTGGATTAGCGTTTGTTGTTCTGCATTTTCAATTTCACGGGCTCAAGACTTCGAGTCAAAACTATAATTGATATTTAGACTGAAAAAAGCGTCTGGAGAACTATGTTTCGGGAAGTTGAACTAGGAGTCAATTTTTTGACATCCCAGAGTCGGAGCCGGATTCGGGTTTCAAATTGCAAGGAGTCGAAGTTTAGAATGAAATAATATAATTTAACCTGGAAGCCCCAGACAAAGTAGAATCAACAGCTCTAGGTGTTGTGTGTGAGCTGCTCCTTCCTGGTGTTAACTTTGGGGTTTTGCGAGGCGCTCGCCCCGTCGGAAGCTGGAAAACTTTAAAAAATATTTTAAATTCATGCAATTTTCAATCAAGTACAGAAAAGGGATAAAATAAAATGAATTAAAAATGGTCAAGCCATACAAGCGGTTTTATACTGCACGTGAGCTTTAATAGGCTACGTCATTTTTCTATATATTCGATTTGCACTCAAAAAATTTCAGTCCAAAAAATGAAATCCATCCATTTGGTATAATTCTAGCGAAAGGGTGGTAAATCCTACAAATATGTCACGAAACGGCAAAATTCAATACCGGCCAATTCAGCCGTAAATATGCCGTTATTACTTCATCTACCTTATGTATGTGCTCAAGAAATCCAAATCCCCAGAATGAAAGACCCTATTTTAGTCTTGTTCTATAAAAAGGGGGGTTTGCACTACAAATTAGTATTTGAACTGGAATTGGGACTACAACCTTACCATACCGTGAGATGAATCGCTGCTTGTGCTTGGCCTCGACAATGCTGTATTCTTTGGTGTTCGCATACATTCTTTCACACGTAAAGTCGAGTTTTCCGCGGACGCAAATAGTGTATCAGAGTTTGATGTCTTTTCCGTACTTCTGCCTCTCTGCTCGCCAGCGATCGAACTAATACCAGATATGTTTGCAACAGTGGCAATAGAAGAGTCATGGCCTGAAAATATTATTATGCCGTTTGTAAAATTCCGCGTATAAAATTACGAATATCTTTTTTGGGTGCTAAAGATTTACAAGAAATTAAATTTCAATTGAATTGGCTTTTTGAAAACAAACGCCCCCTAAATATAAACGATGCTTGTACAAGTTTTGTCTTAATCCTCAACAAAATTGCAAAACAACATAAGCGATAAACTCATGTTAGAATAAAATGTACTTTGTTTATGCTGGACCGAGACCAACCAGACTAGACCCTAATATAGCCTACAACGAACAACAATACCGGTCTATTCTAGTCTGCTCAGTATACTGGTACACTATAGCCTTGTTCCGTTGTCAACGTTTGATCAGTAAAATCTTACTTGGACGAACTTGACGATTCCAGGCATTCTGTTGCCTTGACATCAAAGGAGATCGTACGTCGTCACTCAAAGGTGAGGCATCACGAATACCGGTAAAATTCCCTGGTGTAGTACCCTTACTTCTCTGCTGATTAGGTGTAACATTGAGCTCATTCGCGCTGCTACTTGAAAAATACGATGTATTCGGTGATTCAAGTAAGCCATACTTGTACTTTGGTTTTCTTGAATTATCGTAATTCGCCATTACACATTAGGGAAATTTTAATTCACTAAAACTGTCTCGACGTAAACCAAAGCAAGAACGTCGTCTGCGTCGATTTGACCTTTCGTTGCGGTTGAGCGCATTACTGACTCATTGGTTAACATTTTGAAGGAAGTGTAAGGAGTCGCTTAGTGTGAATATATTTACATTTCACCAGCCGACACGGAAACCAAAGAAAGTACAAAATGCAAACAAATAGTAAAGTGTGTAAAGTGTTTGATCATAGGACAAACGCTGGTCGCTCGTCTGGCAACGAGACCTAAGTCGAGTAGTCTTAAAATAGTTACATCTGGCGGAAAGGATCGATATTACTTCAGTTGTTTGTCGGTTCCGTGCAATTATCGCAATTAAAGCCGCGACTACCTTTCATATAAAATTGCTATTAAATTTCATTCTATATTATTCACCGGATGTGCGTTATGAATGAAAATCTTGAAGACGGAAATAGGCTTTGGAACTATGCTTTTAACGGGGTTTTTATCAAACTCGCAAACCCTTCCACTTTTATTACAAAGTTTTTTCTAAATCTCAATACTTGCTATACAGTCACTTCACAATTTCCCCAAAACTTGACATTTTGGAGACATACTAATGAAGATATATATATGCACTTATAATAAAAAGTTACCAAACAGATACCACAGCAAGAAACTAAAATGTGAATAACAATTTACAATAAAGTCAATAAAAACACTCTTCAATACTAAGTTGGAGAAACACACAGCTTGTCAATACACACGGAAGCATCATCTGGACATTGAGAGCAGGAGTATCCAACCAAATATGGCAGAATTTCAATTCCTCCTTCGTAACTGAAAATAAATATATTATAATAAATAAAAATACCGACAATTAAATAAATAAGAGGCAACAATAAAGCAATACTCAAATATATAGACAAGAAGCTCAAATGACTGACCGCGGTACCAGTAGCCTGCCCATGTGACGGACTGACAACTGGACAAGGCAAAGTTACAAACTTTGAACTACTGCCTCCAATTTAAACATGTGACTCCAACGTTTTAAATATGCTTTGATTCTTGCAGCGGTTATGTGTTATGTTTTGAAACTCGTGCTATTCGTGCCACAGGCTATTACACTTACTATTCATTTCCTGCAGGTCCGTAGATACAAGCAACCAATGTCGAGCCATATCCTCCTTCAATATCCCTGTTGATATAAAAATTTAGGTCACGCCATGGAACCTTCTAGGATACTCCCGAATTATGTGATCCAAGATGGCGGACACCGGAACGTAGTATGTGTACTAGGTTAGGGTTAGGGCATAATTTTATTTCAATTTTTCTTATTTTAGTTCTCTTACGAGTTCGGGGACTAGCCAAGTGACTCCCGTAGAATTTGTATCTGAAATTATGTCCTAGCCCTAACCTGGTTCACATACTACGTTCCGGTGTCCGCCATTATGGTTTACATGCTTCGGAAGTTCCATTGAAGCCTGTGTTACTTGGATTCAAGACTTTGAATATTATAGTCACAATGAATGCAAATCGAATACCAGGCAGTGAATTTCGTATTTACTTGAAATTAGTTAGATGATTAGTAGTCTACTAGTGGTCGGCAACCTTTTTCAAGTGACGGACCGGTAAAGCATGACCAAGCTTTTGGCGGACCACCTTTATACAAACGAACTAAGCCTATGAAATACATTATAAGCATTAAAGAATTTATGTTGAAAGTATATATACTAAAAACGACGGCGATGCTATTTAATGCGATGTATATCTGTATTTGTTTGATGGCCATTAATCGTTCCCATATTCCGAGATATGGTCGACATGGACATACGTAACGTGTTTCTTACATCCAATCTATTTCGTTTTTGTAAGTATCAATATTGAAAACCACTCCTTACATTAATAATAAGATTTTGGGAAAGTTAACAATGCCTGTATCATTTTGTTTGGAAGATCTTATTCGGACTGATCGACCCAGTATTATTGCGACATACTGACATGACAGTTGTTTATGAAGTCAGACATGCTGCTCAATAGTGTTGTGCAGTGGTTGGCAAACTTCATATACCTGCGGGAAAATATAAAAATTTCCGGTAGCGCGCGGCCCGCAATATTTCAGCCTTCGAACAATCGCTACATCAATTAAACTTCGAATTATGGCGCATTCGCATTGTTGCCCTTCCATTGCTGTGTTGAAAGCCGATCCGAATGAGATGTGTATGTGGCGTGTTTTATTAATATATTATTCAACAATATATTGTTTTCATTTACTCATTATCAATGTGAAAGATGATGTTTTTATGGCAACTTATCGTCCGAATGATAATCTGACAAGCGAGTACGAAATTTAATCTAAGTGTAATGCATTTTAGATAAAGCTGCTCAAGGCCATATGTTCTTCCGAACGTGCACCTTACACGTTTTGCAGATGAGCTGTGGCGCAGTCACGGGTCGCGGGGTCAAATTTTCGACGACTCTTTTCGTAACGAGTATAACATTGAAATCTTCAACAACTGCGATGCTGACTGTGCATATCGAGCAAACCGGTTTTGGAATGCGCACGAAAGAAAAATATTTTTCCGTTCAAGCACTTTGGAATGCTCGACCCTCGTCGCTCCGTTTCCCAGACATTTTTAAATTTTGAGAATCAAAATTAACTCGAACGACATACAACTGACGCTACTTGTTAAACAACAAACGCCGTACAGCAGCACTTGTCACCATAAATCCGTGTAGAGACAATAATAAATTTGAGATCAATTTTTGTTTTATGTATTAAATGTCGGGCCGCAACAAATTAGCTCGCGGGCGCATTTGGCCTGCAGTTTGCCGATCCCTAGTGTTGTGTTTGTCTGGTTCACTGTCGGGTGCTGTTTTTTAGTCATCGGGTTTGTAGTTATATTGTAGAGGTTTGATTACGGCCTTGTCCGTTTTTGTGTCACCTCTCTGCGGACCGGCAGTAACCTTTCCGCGGACCGGCAATGGGCCGCGGCCCGGTGGTTGCCGACCACTGGTCTACATGGTAACAAAAACTTGCCTGCATGCCGCTATTGCACATCCTATTTGTCTTGTGTTCGCCCATACTATCTGTTTGTAGTGACCACACTGTCGTCCGGAGCATGTTGGATACCCCGTTATATTGTAAAATTCGCACTGAAAAGTATACGTAAAGTATATACATACATTACGTCTGCAATTAGGGCTTCAGCAATATATGTTATATATATTCATAACACCAGCCGGAGTGAGTGTCTTTCCCTAATTGGGTGGAAAGATTTCAAATGTTTCACTAGAACTGAAAAGCATACAAGATCATAATTATGTTATATTTTCTTTCAAATAGGGCCGGAGATATATATATATGCGTCATTAAATCTTCATCACACTATTCAAGGCTAGTAGCCTACCCTACTGGGGTAGAATTTTACGACACAGAAAGATTTTTAACCTTATATTGGAAAGTATGGAAATGAACTAAGTAGACAGAAAAAAAATTTAAAATTGGGACAGTACCCGACACAATTGTATTTATTTATTTCATTGTATTTATGTTACTGCTAAGTTGGCTTCCAGTCGCATGTTTCGACAAATATTAGACATTTTCAAAGTTGAGGAATGCTGGTGCTCCACGAAATGCCCTTATACCATTTTTGCTGATTGATTTTTGCCAGGCTTTATCATGAATACTTCAAATATGGGATATTAATACCATACCTCGCTATACCAGTCTGACGTGACCTTAGTCGGAATTTCACTAAGCCAATACTGGTTTCCCGCGTAAACATTTTCTCCGAGAGCTGCCCACTGGGATGTTCTCATTGCAGGATAGGTATGATAAACAGAACATTTTCTGAAACAGGAATATAGGGATTTTACAAATTAAAATAAAATGTTTGAATAGTGCAAACGATGTTTACATCATTACATATATATGTTTACTTCATTTCCAATAAGTGCACAGAAGTGTCTTGATAACTTTTCAGAACTTGGTAAATGGAAAAGTCGATACAAAACAATCAATTTTTATTTTTTTTTTATGTGAACCGGTATTTCGCCAAAAGTTTGCTGTTTAATTTATTTCATGACGACACTTTTCATAACATATGGGTACACTTTTATATGACTGGTCTATGCATTTAAACATTGCTTCTTGTCTTCATAATTACGGTACAACACAAAAAATCAACTTAATCAAAATTCTCACCAACTTGGAGCCTAAGACCGGAGTCGATTGTAAATTTTCTTTGAAACTATGGCCTGGTGCAGACTTGCAGTTTCATGCAATTCAGTAGCGTAAGCTTAACGCAGGGCTGTGCAACCCGCGGGCCAGATGCGGCCCACAAGAAAAAATTGTGCGGCCCGCGGAGAAGAGTCATTTTTGAATGGTGTGCAATTGAAACAAGTTTTTAATTTAATTTAATCTAGTAGCCTTTGTGCAAAGCAAACAACGCATGTCATAAGATCAAAAACAAACATTTTGAGCCTGCAACTACTAGCAAACCTATGTTAAATAAAGGTGTCGCCCGCAGGTTCAACCAGATATTTGTATCAAACCTTTCTGCAATAAAGGTTGCACACCCCTAGCGTAAAGCAAAAGTTCAGAAGTAAGAAATTTTCATTACTACGGACCTCACGAACTCGAAAGCCTTTTCAGCGATCTCGTCGCTTCAATAAAGTTGTCGCATATTCGATGCCACTGGTTGAACGTCTTTTCTATGCTGATTGTGAGCTTGAACAAATTCATTTTGTATGTATTCTGGTAGCGGATAGAAACTGTACAAATAGCTACCTGGATTCCCTGTTGAAAAATAGAAAGCTTCTGATATTTGATAGCCAATCAAAATTGTAAACTATAGTACTTGATTATTTTTTTTTTACTGGATAGTGTCAATATACTTTACTGACGGTTTGTTGAAGTGCACTTGCAGAAGAATAGAATTCCTGATTATACTTAATTTTTTTTCTTCTGGTTAAACTACCTATTTAATTATTTAGTGATTTATTACGTCATCAATTATTTAAAATTGATTGGTCCTGCGTCTGCGAAAAAAAGTGATATTTCACAACAAAAACCCCAACAGGAACAACAATTTTAAAAAGCATTTTGCGACCAACGAATATTTTTTGTGTTGAGTTCGGATTTTTTTTATAAATTTGCCGGTGTACGTTTATGTATAGAACCATCCAAAATAAGAATACTAAAATAAATTTAAAAAAGCGATATGTGTAAAAAAACAATATATCAATTATAACAATTATAAAAAAAACTTACCCTGGGCGATACTCCAATAAACAGACATACATATTAGCAAAATTTTCGCCGCTTGTTGAATAAAAGCCACATGCATCGTTGCAAATTTTGCTAATTATGAGCGACTTCAACCTCCATTTAAATCCATTTGATTGAATGATTTGATAGTATTGCTTCCTGGGAATGTCAAGTTCAATAAATAAAATCATTATTTCAAACCATGAGCATTCAACAATGGGGCGAAGCATAACCTATCATGTCTAGCTAAAGTTCATATATGATCGTTAAAGGTTCGATGATAACGAAAATATGCATGTGGCTGTACTAGCTGTGAAGTTGAATGACGTGACTAATAAAAAAAAAATTTGAACTTTATACCCAATTGCAATGTTATTGACTCGGTCAAAATTGCAATGTTATTGACTCTGTCAAAATCGTAATTATAAAGGATATTATTAGGAAATATGATGGCTAGTTGAACTTTGTAAAGGGTTCAGAGCTGGTTATTTTTGGCGTTTTTCATAGAGATTGCCAAACAAGTGTATACAGTGAAAGGGCTACTTGGTTGACGTATTCCATCTCTATGATAATCAACCTCAATGACACATGGCAAACAATGGGTTCTAGGAAAATTCGCCGCAGGAAATTTCGCTGCAGGAAATATCGCCGCATGAAAAATCGCCGCAAGAGCATTTTGCTCTAAAACAAGTATTGATGATGAAAACAGTTAGATTTTGGAAGTACTTTTTTATTTAAAAAAGATTCGTTATTTAAGAGCATGCCCTATGACCCTAACTGTTTTCATCTCAAATGTTTTTTTACAGCAAAATGCTTTTGCGGCGATTTTGTATGCGGCGAAATTTCCTACGGCAAAATTTCTTTTGGCGAATTTTCCGAACACACGAAAAATAAATATATGATGCAAATTGGTATTAATTGCATTTGCATAAAACAACGTGGTATTCAGTGGTAGTAATCAGGGGGCTTCCACGAACGCGATCTTATACTCAAGCGACCTGATTAATACAATTCTTTATTTTATAAATTATTGCCACAGTCATGTTCATTTTTCTAGCTAGCAACAATAGCATACAAAATTATGATTGAAAACACAAGAGAGGAGAAAGCAAAACTGGATCATCAAGAAGCGACACCCAAGGTTCTAATATCTAATAAAAATTCATTTGGTCGAAAATTGTAGTTTTCATAATACTGTTGTTATGGGCGAATATGGCTATGGCAGCTAACCAGCCAGCGACAACCAATGGCGTTTTTGTTAGGCCTTCTGCCATATTGAATTGTAACCGTGACGTCAGTTTATAAATATTTGAAACGACTTGCCTGATTGACAAATTGAATTGTAAATTTTGTTGGTATTTCACAACTATATTGCATCAACAGGCTTGTTCATGGGGCATATTTTTCAGTCCCATCCCGTGGTCATTTATGCCTGTCCCATCCCATCCCATGGGAATACAATTCAATGAAAATTGTTAAATTTAGGATTTAACGTCTACTACATAGGACTTCATGTACAAATGGACATACAAAACGACAAAATTCATTGAATTTGTTAACTTCAAAAATTCAGAACTATTATATAATTATAACTAAAAAGATAGCTTTGCTCAAATATATGGACACGCAATCCACAACAAAATATTTTACCATCAAGTCTCCAAAAATCAAACGGTTCACGGCCATTTACCAGTACTTGTATCAGGGTACCGGTAACGGTACGTGGACTGTACTAGATTTTCCAGATTCTGCTAAGATGATCTATATTTTACGCTACATGATTAAATTTTTTTAAACAGCGTGTTCCTATGAGTAAAAAATATTACAACGAGATTTTGGATGAAATATGAGATCTTACGGGATTCAAAAACTTTTTTAAAATGAATAATAAAATTGTAGCAAAAAATAAAATCTTTAACCACTTGAAAGTTAAAAGGAATTAGTACGGGACGTCTTCCGTGGACAATCCTGCGAAAACAACAAAGCAGTAAGAAAAGCAATTACCACAATGTCAAGATTCAAGATTTTGTGAAACGAAGGCCATTGTGTATTACTATTGATCAAACCGTCCGTCCGTTATAATGGAAATAACTAACGTATGTCAGCTCTTCAAAAACTATTATTCAATTTCAGGCAGCTTTGAATAAGAAAAATCACCCTTCACCGTGCTGTGTGCCTTGTGCCACCGTGCCGTGCTGTGTTCTGCTTTCCTTTAGACAATAATAATTTTTTCGTATTTTTCTATGCCAACCTTGTTTAAATAAATTTTATTTTTGTGATTTGCATTTTGAATTTTTCTTTGTTTCACATATTTGTCGATATTTTTAATGCATGTCATTATTTTCCTATTTTTTATTGATGAGAAGAACACGGAAGAACATTTTATGTTAAAAATAAAGTGCACAATTGACGATTGCTCTTCGATATTGCTGTGTTTTCAAAAAATGTAACTTTTATTCTGGGCCCTTGTATTATTGCTTGTTAACAGACGGATAGCTTTAGGACCGCATTTCCTTTTTATTTCAGTACACTATATGAAGACTTTCGAAATTACTCATGCAAGGAGAATTGAATCCGGGCTTGAATTCAATGAAACGTTTGAATTTGTTACGAACAAAAAAGAAATAGTGGCAGCGAATCGTTGGTAACTTGAATGTTGGCCTACTTGAAGCTCCGCCTCCTCCCCCGATCGAGTTCCTGCAGAAAATTTTGATCACGTTAATTGCCGTCCCTATACTTGTGTTACTCGCTTGCAACGAAAATAGTTTAAAATGATGTTTTAGGATGAACATATTGTAGTAGTTGCTCGTACAGGGCCTATAGTTTATAGCAAACTTGGCCATGAACGCTGTTCTTATTAGTATTTACCTGTATATAAACTAATCCTGGACGATTTTGAGTATGGACGACATGTCCATATTTTTTATTTTTTGCATTTGCACAACCTAGTTCTGAGCGACTTTTGAGTAGCTACTTATGCATGATTTAGTTCAAGACGGAGTGTGGGTAAACTTCTTCCACTTTTGTTCAGTATTTTTTCGTTAAGAATCTCGTCAAGCTAATACCCAGGCTTGTGCATGGGAAACGTCCCATGGGATGGAATGGGACAGCACACGTTTGTTTTTCCCATGGGACACGTGGAAATGGTAGTAAAACATTTCGTTATGTTCGTGTCTATATATTTGTGCCTAGCTCTCTTGTTAATAATAAAGTGCAAAATACTTTCAGCATTACCAACATATTTTGTGAAGGGGCTGATGGACACATGTATGATAGTCATGAATATAAAGTTAACAAAGTCCGTAAATTTTGTTGTTTTGTACGTCTCTTCATACATGTAGTCCTATTTAGTAGACGCTAAATCTAAATTCAACATTTTCATTGAATTGTATTCCAATGGGAATCCCATGGGATGGGACAGGAATATTTGCTATGGGATGGGAATGGGACAAAAAATATGTTCCATAGATAATCCTGCTAATACCTAAAGAGATATTGTCATACTTCCTGTACAGAACCCAATTCAGAGCGAACACTAGTGCAGGGATCACCAAAATACGGCCCTGGACCTGATCCGGCCCTTGGCGTCCTTTCATCTGGCCCTCAATGCCACGACAATTTTATTTTCAGAGTTAATGTGTGAATGAAAACTTTTATAATTTATTAGAGGGCAAGTAGTTAGTAAATATTTAGAGCGATGTGTAAACAAACGTAGAGGCCACTGGACGCAGAGTGCGGGTGTATCAGGTTTTCGAATCTTCAAATATTTTATTTTTTTCATCAAAGCTTTTCACCGATGGACAGTGATACCACATGGAAAACATGGTCACAATGTATCAATATAAATCTAAGCGTTAGTGATTGTGACGTCGTAAGAACCAGAGGACTTGTATTAAATGTTATCTATTAATTATGCGAACTGAGCTAAATGACTTGCGGGCCACACCAACATTAAACTTTCACACCAAGGCGGGTGCCACAAACTATAGTCCTGTGGGGCGCCACTGGCCCGCGGGTTTGAGACCCCTGCACTAGAGTAATTTCCTCAAGTTTATGAGATTCTCAAAATATTAGAGCAAGTCACACAGAGATTTATTTTAGGATATTCGTCTGAATACGGGAAATTCTGCAATATATAATTCAAAATGAAAATTGTACAAAAATGACAATTTAAACAATTTAGTCTGATTAGATAAATATTCATAATATCGTATTAAGGAATTAGTAATAAAAAAATAAACCTATTTTTAACAGCATATAACACGCCTCACATCCTTTTCTGATATGAACTGAAAAAAGAAACGACCAATCAGAAATAGCAAAAGCCTATGAGAAAGAAATATGCTTTCAAACGAGTAAGAAGTGAACATAAGCAACACAAAAACAGCAGAGTGGTCATATCTGAGAAACATCAAACAACAAAAAGGCTTTCTAGGCTTTTGATACAAATTTCAAACAATTTTGCCCCGGAATAAGCAAGTGAGAACCGAATTTAATAAATTCATTGGAATGCTGAAAATCGTTTATTAGCCGTCAATTCCACGTCAGGAACTCTTTGGAACATATAATCCAGAAGTTTCGTCAAGCAATCTGTGGACGTCCTTACTAGCTGTTCTTCGTTTACGGTGTTTTTCAAAAAGTCAATCGGAATATTCTTCAGGCGAAGTTTGCAAAAAAGAAGGGCAAATGTCTCATGTCGACCTTTTGGATCCGCTGATGCCCAACGACTTATTGCACGGTATAGCGTAGTGTCAGTGGTGTATCTGCGACTTTTGAAATACGTTTCCATGTCTTTATCCCGTAGTCTCGTGAAGTCTTTTTGCTCAGAAATACTAAGCAGGTTTTCCATAATATATAAATCCACCGCCTCATGTATTTTACGGTAATCAAATTTTATGGCTGACGATTTTATGAAGAACCAGTTGCCCGGGGTAAATCTCACTGAAAAGGGGGGTGGATAAAACTGGTCGGAAAATATTTCAGGAAAAACGTCCACTCTTCGATCATCTCCATGTTGTAACCATCGTAGTAAGTCCTCAAAAACATTGCTGTAATTTGAAGCGTTAAGTTGTTTGATGTAACTTTTGAAGTTTTGTTCAGATATTTTCAAATACTCGGGGGATGATGCAACTCTTTTGAAGTTTTCAACAATAAGACCATCAATATCTTTTTC